TGTCTTAAAAATTGATGAGACTGTTTATAAGGAGGCTGAATCTATGTGAAAGCGCCCTTTCAAAGCCGGTTTAGATCGATCTACGAAATTAGAATATTAATTTACAGGAAATAAACATAGAACATCGGACATTAGACATGTTGACACTGTTCTAGGGAAAAGAGAGTCTTTGCCAAGGTACTAATGCAAGGAAAGTTATTTCAGAGATGCACGCATTTTTTATAATGCAGTGTACTGTGGAAAAGTAAACACAAGACGGATGTCACAGCCTGACATGGAATCCATTTTCACAAAAATAGTATATGAAATATTTTGGTCAAAGGAAACTATTATGTGAATTTTCAAAATTATTAAAATTAAATGCTTTTTACCTCCTCGGATATTAAACGAACACTAATGCATCTATTCTTGTTTACTAAGTCCGCCAAGAGAGAACTGGTTTCAATATATACGCAGAGTATACGCGACCGCAATTAACTTTTCTTGCATTAGTACCTTGGTCTTTGCCACAAACTTTGATTTTTAAATTACTATATCTTTGCAAACCAATGTCGTGAAAATCTAAAATATTTTCTAAACATGACTTCTGTCAGGTCAAATAATGTGTTTGAAATATGAAAGGTTTACACCCTCAGGCCTCAAAGATTTAGGAATTAGAAAATTTGAGTTTGCGGCAAAGACGATAAATTCCTTTCATGGAAAGGTGATTTTTTTTAGTAATTGTTACAGTTTAAGAAATTTGATGTTGAATAGTCATGACATTTTATGCGTAGTATGTTACATATTACGTAAAACAACGACAGCAAAGTACATCCCGTCTGTATTAGAATATTTTAAATCATATTTTGATAGTGGGTCACTAGATGATTAACATGACCTCTAGTTCACCGTGATATAACTATAACATTAACTTCTAGTTTACCGTGATATCAGTATAATATTAACCTCTAGTTTACCGTGATATAAGTATAACATTAACCTTTAGTTTACTGCGATATTAGTATAACAGTAACCTCTAGTTTACCGTGATATAAGTATGACATTAACCTCTACTTTACTGTGATATAAGTATAACAGTAACCTCTAGTTTACCGTAATATAAGTATAACATTAACCTCTAGTTTACCGTGATATAAGTATAACAGTAACCTCTAGTTTACCGTGATATAAGTAAAACATTAACCTCTAGTTTACCGTGATATAAGTATAACATTAACCTCTAGTTTACCGTGATTTAAGTATAACATTAACCTCTAGTTACCGTGATATAAGTATAACATTAACCTCTAGTTTACCGTGGTATAAGTATAACATTAACCTCTAGTTTACCGTGATATAAGTATAACAGTAACCTCTAGTTCACCGTGATATAACTATAAAATTAACCTCTAGTTTACCGTGGTATAAGTATAAAAGTAACCTCTAGTTTACCGTGATATAAGTATAACATTAACCTCTAGTTTACCGTGATATAAGTATAACAGTAACCTCTAGTTTACCGTGATTTAAGTATGACAGTTACCTCTAGTTTACCGTGGTATAAGTATAACATTAACCTCTATTTTACCGTGATATAAGTATAACAGTAACCTCTGGTTACCGTGATATAAGTATAACAGTAACCTCTAGTTCACCGTGATATAAGTATAAAATTAACCTACCGTGATATAAGTATAACATTAACCTCTAGTTTACCGTGGTATAAGTATAATATTAACCTATAATAATTTATCTAACCAAAATTTAGAACTGTGCCCCATCATCCTATGGTTTTGTGAAGTATCTTTCTGACTGTACCGGTTTTGAGATTTTACGCACACCTCTCTAAAAAAGTGCATGATCCGAGCCGCGGTACAATATATATACTTTATATGAATTAAGCCCCACTGTCCAGACTTGACTACCCAGTGGAGAGTCGACCCAGCACGTTTAATGCAAGAAATGTAAGTACAGTCTAAATAAAAATGACAGGTTACAAAAATGAAAACAAAAAGTTTGTTTATTAGCCATTTTGTTTGATTTTGTTAGAAATTATTTTGCGTCAACGACATGTGATTTTTTAAAGTTTTTGTTCCATTTTTGCTCTAAATCTTACTTTTTAGAGGACTATGGTTTATAAGGTAGAGCGAGGTCTATAAATGCTTCTTATTCCCTGGGTTTTCATTAAAATTAACTAGTTTTAAACCAATTAAAACTTTTAATTCCTTTCCCCCACCAGTAAACCAGATCAGGGTTGGATATTTACACAAAATTCAATCCATCCATCTGTTCTCTGTTAACGTTTTCGACTATTTTTCGATGGGGGGGGGGGGTGGTTAGGGGGCAAACTGAAGTCAAGTAACTCAAATCAGATTTTTGAATGATATTAGGTACTTAAACAAATGTCTTTTCTGAGGGGCACAACTAAGTGACAATTTTCCAATTGATAACTTCACAAATATACAATTTCCCAAGCGGCAACTTCCCAAATGTACATTTTAGGTAGGGTTAGGACTTCTGAGGCGCCGCAGGCTGCAATGGGAGGGGGGGGGAGTGCAATGGCTAGGATGGGATAAGGGACATTGTGCTACGACTTGAACAGACTTTGGAAGTAGCCGATTGGGAAATTGCACATTTTAGAAGTTGCCACTTGGGAAAATTTCCTTAAAAAGTTGTCGCTTTAGGAAAACGCCTTTGGGAAACTACCTGACATCCTTTTAGATACCTTAAACTCAGAAAATGGCTGAAATGGAGTAAGGGGATGGGAAAATTGTAGAAAATATAATTCCCCTAATAAAGGTCATGTCATCAACCCTTACTAAGGGGAATATTCATGTAGAATGAAATCCCCCCTTTTTTTAAACTCATCATTTGTCTTATTTTCTAGTTTTTCAAATGATAACTTTTAGTGAGAGTCTGAGAGAATGAGACTGCGAGTTTTAAAATTGTTTTTACTTGGTGGGGAAATTAACTTCATTTGAAAACATGATTTCTAACCTTTACATTTTAATGACATATTCAACAAATATATGTTTTTTTCATTTTAACTTGTATTTATTGAGATTAAAACATCCTTTAATTTTATTATATTTAATTTAGAATACTTTATAATACTTACTTTATATAATACTTACATTATTATATTTAATTCATAATACTTTATAATACTTACTTTATTATATTTACTTTAATATTATTTCTCGTAATATAACTAATCCAGCCAGATTTTAATCAAATCAAAAAGAAAAAAAATTAACAGAAAAATGTTCTTTTCTTAATTTTTCAGTGAGAAACATCGCCAAAGATTTTATTATTTGTAACTGTCATCTATTGAGTTATATATAAAGTAGTAATTCCTCTCTGTGTTTATTTTCTTGTCCGATCTTAACTCAGAAACCTTTTGTCTAATTGGCCTCAAATTTTTTATAAAGTAAGTTGGCCGGTAGAACCACGAAAATGTTTATTGTTTGGTGCATTAAACAGTAAATTGATTGGGTTGACTTTTATAGAAAACGTGTAGCTTCCAGGCAAAGCTGGATTTCCAAGCTAGTCAACCCAGAACTTCGAAGACATTGTAAAAATTTATAAAATGCCGTCTTGTTAATTTTTCAATTTGTTATATACGATTGTACACAGAGGGCGGAAACGTCATGTATGTGAGTCTGTACCAAAAGAGTGTGTATAAGTGATATCGAACTGAAGGTGCGTACTGTTGGTATATACAGTACATAAGAATATCGGTATTTGTACAGTCTGGGAGAGTACATTTGTGTATTGTTTTACTTAAAATTAAGTTTAATATACATGTAATATATTATTTATATATTTAAGTCAACACTATAAGCCAAATTTTCATTCAAGGAATATGATTTGATTAAAGTTTACTTTAAACTAGTCGTTATTCAAGCTTAATTATAATTGACTACATTGTTCTGTAATTTCCTTGACTGTATTCATGTTGTGTGTCTTTACCAAAAGAGTGTGCGTGTGTAATAACGAACTCATCAAAGCAGTGTGACTGGCTTTCTCATGCCAGACCAGCGCCATTTCCTTTCCCTTTATTCTTATTCCCTGATTATACAACCAAGAAATATGCAGGAACAGTTTTAAAGATGTTCTGGGTTAAGATGAAATATTCGATTCTTTAGACATTTTCCATAGTTGTGATTTACAGGGTGTCAAACATAACAGTTAGTGAATAGTTTGTCTTCTTCCATAATTAGTTAAGTAGTTTGATATTAAAGAGAATGATAAAAAATATTTTATGCCAACTGATTTCAAAGTAAAATATATTTGAGAAAAAAGATGTTTTTAACAAAATGACATGCTTTAATGTCTTTAATAAAATCCAACATAATATATGGAAAAAGACATTCAAAACTATTCGACAACTGTCATGGTTCGTCTTTGAATTTGATCAGGAATTTATAATACTTTATAATGATAATAATAATAATCGTTTTAATTCAAAGATTTAAGAACGACGGCATTCGTTATCTAAAATACTGAATTTAGAGACAAATAAAATATTATGATTTCCGACAGCTGATGAATGACAAGATTTCAAAAAATAGTACATTTTCATTTATAAAATCGAGGTGGACATAAAGACAATATTATTATAATCTTTTTAAATACAGGGTGTCCCACGAAACATGACAGTTGATAAATAGTTTTGAATGTCGTCTTCCATACACTGTATTAGATATTAAAGGCTGTTTGCAGTTTATTTCGTTTAAGAAATCTTTTGCTCTAGTATATTTTACTTTGAAATTAATGTTACTATAATATGACTCCTAAATAATATTTTTATTATTGTCTTTTGTATTAAAATTATGGAAGAAGACATTCTAAACTATTTATACCAACTGTCATGTTTCGTGGGACACCCTGTAAATTGGATCTGTGAAATTGTTAAATGTATGGGAAAAAATGGCAAGCCTCATTTTTGAAATTCAAAAGTTATGAATTACAATCTTGACCTTGACATTCTATAGAATTATGCTTTTTACAGCAATCAATCAGTTTTCATAATTTTTTATCCTTTAGTGCATTGATCAAGTTTATCGTACATTTTAAACTCTGTTGAGAGGTGATGGAGGTTTCTGATAGGCTTTAACGATATCGATAATTCTAGAGGCGAAACTTGATTCGTTATCGAACCACAGGACTAGCTTTACACAGTTGTCTGACACCTAAATAATTCCCCTTTATTATTAAATAATTTACTTCGATTTTTAATGAGCAATTAATCTGTTTTTAATGGTAAATAGCTGAAGTGCCCGACGTTGCCCGTGGTAAAAACTCGTTTTTATTTAGAATTTTGAATAAAAAAATTTAATTTAAAAATGAATTTGCACGGGTTCCCTCAAAAAATGTAAGCCAAATTGGTTCAGTCGTTCGGCCAGCTATAGCAAACATATATATACAAATATATATCTTCTTAAAATAAGTCTAGAACATGTTCTATTGTTTATTAAGAATTGGTTATTGCTGGACACTGTGTTTCATGTTGGACATTCTTCAGCAGCTGATTGCGGATACAAATATATATATGAGCGAAGAGCTTTATTATATATATTTATGAATTCATGTACAGTTATATCCTAAATAAGTCATACATCGAAAAAATTGATCAAATGTCGTATTCTTTAATTTCTGATAATGGAATGGTGCAGATATTTGTTTTTTAATAAAATGATCATATATGGAGCTCTTTAAAACTGTTCCCGCATATTCATGGCTATTTATTTTTTTCTCAAATACTAAGATTTACGTAAAATAGTATAAACCCATAGAAAAATTGTCAAGACGACATTTGAAAAATTCTTTTGATGTATGGCTCATTTAGGGGGTTTAATTGTTTAAAAACAACGTAAACATTTGTCCCTTTCAAAATTCAATAAATGTTACAGATGCATCATGCAATATGTTCCAGAATAACAAAAAATCTTTTAATATTTACGTAAAAACACTTTTGAAATTAGGTCTTCAAGTTAGTTCGAATCAGAAGTTACACTCAATTCCCATATTTGTTAAGCCACTTTTACTGAAAAAGTTGAAAAAGGATATTAGAGAAATCAGTTATGTAAATCAAAGAAATAAAACCATTCATACTCTTCTTATTTTCTACTTCTTGCGTTTATATAATTCAAATATGTTATTCCTGAAGAAGGAATATAAAAGACGACATTTTTATTCACCTGAACTCCAGATTTATCATCGAAGACGACAGTACTCGTTGTACCGGCAAATAAACAACTAGCACTGAAAAATACGCAATATATGATTTATATCAGAATATTGGAAGTTTTTAGAGAAGAAAACAATTGGGTGTTAAAAAACCTATAATATTTTAATTTTTCAAAATAATTGCAGTGCCTGAACATTTTTACAGATATTGCAGCACTTACAAACCACTATTCTCAGTATGGATATCAGGAAGAACTAAATTAACTAATATTCTCAGTATTAACTAATATTCTCAGTATGGATATCAGGAAGAACTAAATTAACTAATATTCTCAGTATTGATATCAGGAAGAACTAAATTAACTAATATTCTCAGTATGGATATCAGGAAGAACTAAATTAAATAATATTCTAGTATTGATATCAGAAAGAAATAAATTGACTCATTTTTCGGATTTCTTCTTACGTTACAATTGAACAGTAACCCCCATATAACTGTTAATACGAAGACGACAATTTGACTCAAGTTTTGATTTGTCCAATGAACACGAATAACTGTAGTTGTGCAGTGTAAACAGACTAATTTCACTTACTTTTTTTAATTACAACCAACTGCTTTAAAACAACATCAAATACACATTAGTTGGTTTAATGTCGTCTTCATATTCTATAGTTTTATGGTTCTCACTGTACAGTGTACACAATATTTTACCTATTTTCTGTTGACATTTTGGGAACATAGTTTATAATTCCTTTATGAGATGATTCTGCTCTAGCTTTCATCTCCTTGCAAACATCTCTAAAAATATTAAATAACTTTCACATGCGATGTGATGTTTGTTTTAATATCTTTCATATAGTGTTACCTACGGCCACTAAGGATGAGACACGAAAAGGCTAATGCTGCAACTTTTACGGTATGAGGGACATTTGGCAAAATTATCAATTGAAAAATTGGACATTTGGAAATATGCTTTTTGAAAAGGATACATTGGGAAGTTGCCTTTGGAAAAAAAGATATTAAGGTTGGGACATTTTGTGTTGAATATTCACTTTTAATTTCAGGCTTAGTGCTTAAAGGGAGTGTTCGCGAAAAATGAAAGGGGGTATATGGGATAAAAAAAGCGCTTTTGATCGCTACTAATCTTACTTCTATCTGTTGTGTCTATAAGGAGAAAATTGTTAAAAACGACTCACACCGAAGAACGCAGCGTCCATACATATTCGGAGAGATGCAAGATTCAACTTGGATCGTAAACAAATAAATTTAATTCCAAAGAAATAATTCAGATATTACAAACAGTAGTCATCGATTATTTTTCGATGCATTCGTATATAGTTAATATTTCATAATATTTTTGATTTTTTAAAACTGGATTTTCGAACATTCCTGGAAAATATGAAAATGTCGTCTTCATTATCAAAAATCCTCGAAACAGGAATATATGTTTTCAAAAGTAACTTTTAGATCATAAAAACTACAATCTGTTAATTTCAGCTATTCCTCCCCTGATCAAAGCTACCTTCAACCCCCCAACTAGGCAGGATTAGCATGGGGAGCCAAATATTAATAAATTTGCAGATTAACAAAAGATCGAGAGCAAGCAAACAATACAAGAGTTCCCAGCTCAGGTCATACTAGAATTCCTCACTTACGAATTTGTCTTTTTCCTTAAAGGAAATATGACAACGGTGGAATAGGATCAGTTTGAATTCGAACTTGACCGACCCCTTGAACTGGCATTCATGAGACGTGGCAAGTACCTGCCCCACCCCGTCCTATGTTAGCTTGGTTTCAACTTTACTAGGGCGGTCAGACCTTTTACAGTACCCGGTCTATCATATGCCTATTTGACCTACCCAACTAGCTTAGTTTAGTGTCGCTAATCAACTATAAAACATTTATCATTTATTTTTTACCTGTAAATATCTTGGGACTGGGTTTGAGTAGAAACAGTGAGATCTAGCATAGAAACTTGAGGTATTGGAGTATAGACTAGTAAACCAGTCATCCGTCCACGCCTAGGAATTTGCTTTGGATCGTTTATCGTTCGTTTTTTACCGATTTTAATGTAAGAGTAGCAAAATTTATTTTTTTTATTCTAAAAATTTGCCGTTCTTTAAGTATTTCAAAATTTGAACCTGGCAGAAGATATATGCAAAAAATATCCAAAACAATGTTTTCGTGTCAGGGTAAAATTTGGCATAGTGTAAAAGAATCAAATGTTTAAAATAAATATTTTAATACAGATTTGCTCTCTTATACTATATATTGGGAAAAAAATAATCAAAAATAAAAAAAAAACAATCTAGTACCACTTTTCACGCCCAAAGGTACATTATATGTTGGCTCATTTATTAGAAACGTTTTATCTAAGAATGTTAGTATGTAGTGGTGAACTTAAGGAGAGAGAAATCAAAACATTCGTTTTGTCAAGCAAAAAGTTAGATAGATTTTGCCGTTTTAGTTTAGAAAAAGCCATTTTTAAAATTAATTTGCAAAAACTTTTCAGGGATTTTTGAGCCTGAATGCTCATAGTCTAAAAATCTAAAAATGTTAAACCTAAAACTAAATATATAATTTCTTTAATCATTATATACTAATGTTTTTAATCATTTTTAGTTCGTTATTTTGCATATATTTTCACTTAGATTTGGCATAGTGTAAGAATGAAAATCCTATAAACCTTGTTTTTCTTTACATTTACATTTACACTGTGCCAAATTTTTACCCCGAAAAAAAATTATATGCAAAAACCGAAAATAACCAAAAAATAATATGCTCGTTTTTCCTATTTTTAAGTATAACAATATTTCAAATTTTATAATAAGCTAATTTTTATTTTACAGAATACAGTTTAAAAATTTATTATTAAAAATCTTAAATTTTGAGATCTTACATGTTCGGCAGAACTCTAAACACCCCCTCCTGGACCTCTAGGGGCTGAACTGGTACAAGAGTTTCTTTAAAATCAAATTTAACACTCCTGTGTTAATTAATACAACATCAATATTGGTTGAACGAAATAAGTTAATTGTTTGAATTTCCCTCTGTCATCTTAGAACAAACGGAATTGAGTCTTAGCCACAAACTCTGACTTTCAAATTTCTATATTTGTGCAGTGTGCAACCCAATTTTGTAGACCTTAGATATTTCAAACTATGAACTTGGTTAGATTAAATAATCTAAGTTTGAAATATCAAAGTTGGATATCATCAGGTTTTATAAATATAGGCCATGAAAAATTTGAGTTTTTGGCAAGGACTCAATTACTTTGATAACAGTCCTCAAACCTTATAGCCAATTCTAAAATGTACTTTGAAAAAAAACATGCTTTTACAAAACAAAACAATATTAGATGCAAATTCCCAAGTCGAGATTTTATGCAGGGATATATATTTTCTTGAAAAATAATTCCCACTCTTTTTAAACAAAAGTTTTAATCATTGAATAGAGGGAAAATAAATGTTTTTTATTAAAACTATACTTACAAAGATGAAAAACTTGCCTTTTCATGTATAATATTTAATTTTTTCCACAGCATAAAAATTAACGTTAGGTACTTTCCGAAGCAGCAACTTCCAAAGGGTATTTTCCCAAGGGGCAACCTTCAAACTGTGCTATTTCCAAAGCGGCAAGTTCCCAAGTCTGTCCCTTTAGGGAAAATACTTAAAAACACTTAAAAATTGTGGGGTTTAATTCTTGAAAATAGATACCCCTGATATGATGGTTAAAAAATGGAGTTTTTACAAATAAATGTTCAAAAAAATTGCCATAAATTTTTAGGATTACAGATTTACTTGCAACTTGTGAAGGAATTTAAGAGTGTATTATTGTCGTTGTATGCCTTGTGTGGTTGTTAGGACCAAGAACAGGGCATTTTATATCTCTATTCGCCCCCATCACAGCTTTTAGTAGAGTAAAAGAACAAAACTGTATTCCAAACTTATCATCCAGAACCTTTACAAATCCTTGTCATATTGGTGTGCATCGATTTTTAAATATTTAATGGTATTTTATTTTAAAAGTGAGATGTATATCACATTGCAAAATTGTATTCTTGATAAGATTGCTTTTATTACATTTTTCAAAAAAAAATTCTCCGAAATTAAGAGAATGGACAAGCTAATTAAGCATTCCTTTGTTTTAACTTATAATTAAACTTTAAAATAATTAAACATAAGCTTTTTATTAAGAAAAAAGAGTTTTTATTATGGCATAACAAACAGTTATCAGAGTTTTTGTAAGAATTTGTATCATTTTGATGCACAAAGAAAAAATTGTTTTAAAATATTTACGGGGATAACTTTTATTTTAAGATTTCAGGAAAAAAGTGTCAAGTGTGAAAGCTATTTTTTAAAACAAAGCATTAAAAAAAAATTAGATAAAAGTAATTACCTTCAGAACAATAGCTAATGCAGACACAGCCGCTAATTTGATTTAACAATTGCATTTTTTACTTAGATTTTTATATTTTTTATGGAGGTAAAAACTCTTAAGTTCAAGCATATTTAATATTGCATTCAGCTGATGTTATGTTGCAATTTATATTTTAAAATATTCAAAATTTGAATGCCCGTTAAATATTGTTAAATTCCTGAGGTGTGAGAAATGATTTTGCTTGTCAAGCTTTCTGGTATTTTACTGACGCCTGTTAAAAGTAATCAAAAAAATAAGTTATGTGGGTTTAGAGATGTTTCCGAACCAGATGAAGATCCGAAGTTTCATCTTTAGTATTTTAATGTCTTTTACCTTATTGAAGTCCAATTGTGCAAAGGTACTCCCCCCCCCCCATCCTTTCTTCCTTCATACAAAGTTTGCTATACTCAAACCAGTTTTGTGTTGATATACATTAGTATAGGCTCAGACTAATTTTCTATAAACATTTAGTTTGACAAATAGTCAGTATAGCCAACAGCAGCAAAGGAACTATCAGAGCTTCACTGTTATTGTTATTTTAAACTTTTATATGTTTGATTTATATATCATTGTAATATGCCTTATATTTCAGCATATCGATAAACAGAGGAGAATAAACGTGTTCCTTCGACCCATTAGCATTCTGCAATGGTATAGCTGTTAAGATTTCTATATTAAGAGTATAGTAGTGCTCCTAAAACCACAAAACAAAATTGTATAGTTCTTTAGGCCAATCTTAGATAAATGAAGTTTTTTTACCATTTTGATTATTGCCTAACGTTAAACATTTAGCATCTGGTGATGGGAACGCAATTAAAACTTTCTGAAATAATAAAATAAAAAATTTATTTTTAAAGAATTTATATATTTTAAAAAAATTATTTTTAAAGAGAAGGTTATGGACATAATTTCATGTGACCCTTTATTGACATCCTTTTTATTTTTCCTTCAAATCAAAAATTGACTTGCATATTTTTGTTTACAGAAACAGTAGGGGGTATTGAGAAAATTAAATGAAGACAGCATTTTTAATATTATTGAATAGATAATAGAATAAAGAGTACCATTGTCAATTGGACATTACAGTCATAATCAGAAAGACCCAAAATTAACTTATAATTAATCAGACGACTCTACAATATAGTTTTACAAATATGATTGATGAAACGATAACTACAAAATATCCCTAGTCTTGACATTTTCAAAATATGGCCTGCCTTTCTTAAAGCATTTAATATTTATGTAAATTCGCCTGATTAACTGTTAATTATTTCCGTATCTTTCTGATTATGACTATAGCCCACTTTCACTTAAAACCTCAATCACATTCCCTTTAAACAAGCTTGAATTTGTTTACCTGTACTCCAGGATAATGTGATCCTCCTTTCTCTGTGGTTTCTTCACAAACCTAAAATATCAAGTTTTATAAATTTAACATTTAACAAGATACAATATAATCAAAATTAAATTGGAGATAAGTATTCAACCCCTTTACATAAAAATACCCTTAAAAATAAGAAACATGCATAAATTGCCACCTCTGGAATTTCCCGTAGATGAAGCTTAGCATCATTAAATGTGTTGAGAGCTTCATTAGTTTCAATTACTATGCTAGCTTCAACCATCTCCCAAGGTATCTTTTTAGGATCTCGTTCAGTAAATACTTCAACTGTCTAAAATATTTGATTAGAAGAATAAGAAAAAGTTAAGTTTGTTAGTAAATGTCCATTGTCTAAGCCTTTTTACACTAAACTAAGCTTGTGGACTAGATCTAAAAGTCTATGGTGGGCTAGGTACTGTAAAAAGGCTGGGCGTGCCATGCAACAAAGGTGAAACTGAGCTGGCAGGATAGGGTCCAACCAGTACTTGCCACATGTCACTAAGGCCACTACAAGGGTTCAGTCCCATTTGAATTCAAATTGACCCTAGTTAGTAGTCTACCATGAATTATTTTACCTTGCCATTAATGATTAAGTTACCCAAAGGACCTTCTTGTATATTCAGATCCTTCCTCTTTCCTTTCCAAGGTGTATTAGAGATATCAAATTTGAGAGCGTGTACCATGTAATGAAGAGGAATGAAGGGGTCATTGACTGCAAGAAAAATCTTACTCTATTAACTTCACTTAAAAAATATTTTTGGTTAAATTTAATATTTTTAAAACATATCTCTGATGAACATTTTTGGAATTGCTAGTAAGTGTTCTAGTATTGCACGGAAAAATGCCAAATTGCATAGAATTGCGAGAAAATTACAGTGCCCACAATTGGAAAACTTAATTGGTAAGAATAAAATTTGATCTAGAGTAAGAGGTTCTATCCTGCAGCAATATCATATCCAGCTTCTATTGCAGACCTTAATATCAATCTTCCCATTCGGTCGAATCCATTAATGCCAATCTTGGCTGGTGTGGTGGGTATGACCAGGTGTGATGATCTGGATTAAAGTCAACATATTAGAAGGTAACTATGTAAGCTAAATGGCTTACATCTAATTTTTTTGTAGCCATTCTAAGGACAAACATCTAACTTATACATATCTCCAAGTTCATACTAAAAAACGATTCACTCAAAAAACGCTGCATAGATAAAACACTACCTCATTAAATGCTACACTAATAAAATGCTACAAGATAAAAGGCTATAGTAAAGAGAAAACTCTACTATATTAAAATAGCATAATATCAGGTTTGAAATTTAGATTGGCTGAACAATTGTATTTGTTACATTTTATTTCTTTGTAACTTGAATATTAAAGAGGAAAGGTTACAAAATTCTACTCCAAAAAACAGTAAGAAGCCAAAGGAATAGGACTGCCCCGTTTTTACAAATTGCTGATATTACTAGAGGAATAGCAAATTTAAAAGAGATTGAAAACAGGGGCGTAGTCATAAATTTGTCCAGGGAGAGACTTGAATTTTTTTTCTTTCCAGGGGGGCTTAGCACCGGTTGAGGCCTGAAAATCCTCTAAAATCTATAGATTTCATTGTTCCAGGGGGGGGGGGCTTAGCCCCCATAGCCCCCCTGACTACACCTCTGGAACCCTATTGACGTTGGAAAAAGTACCATAAGTAAATTATGACCTGGCAGTAAAAAAATTCATCTCAAAACATCCAAACCCACATACATATTATGTAGTGCTTTAAAAGATTAGTTGAATATTAGGTCCGACAATGCTTTGGTGCCAGTGATATTGAGATATTTATCATCTTTCTGATCACATAATATGTGCAATGTTGAGAAGTTCATGTGAACTAACAACTATGAATATAAGAATTCTTTCTCTGTATGTAAATATATTTTCTCTGTATTTGATACAAATGTATATATTTGCCTAATTGTGAAAATATATTACACTAAAGAAGTTAATTTATTCTAAATAGCTTTTTTGTCTATTTTATACATTTTATAATATATTCTATTATGAAGTTATAAACAATAACTTGCAAATATAAACATGAGTTTATTTCTTTAAAATCGTTTTATCTGTTAGCGTTTTATGAGTGTACAGTTTTATGAGGTCTAGTGTTTTATAAGTGTAGTGTTTTATGAGTGAAGCATTTTTCTAGGTACACCATCTCCAATAGAAAGGGTTTAACTTAATAAATAATATTGCTAATGTTGGTTCTTTAAACTATAAACTAGTTGCTTAGTAACCAAACAGCAATAGGTAAACAGTGATTGCCAAGGCCTGTACTTCATAGCAAAATGTAAACAACCTCTATTATTGTTATCACTTAGGGTTTGATATGAAAACAATTAATGTTCAACAAGTTATGACTGGGGGTCTAAAATTTACTTTTGAACTCATTAGCACAGGAGTTTAATATGTAAATTAGCATCTGATCCTCATGTGCTTGTTGGTGAGAACTCAGGATAAATAGAATTTGATAGGTGGCAAGATCTATCTATCTTTCTGTCTATTCAAATCTTATAATGCAATTAGAAATACATAAGAAAATTTGCGGCAAAGGCTTAATGGAATTCTTTACTTATATCAATACTACAGTGTTACTTATGCTGACTTTCCTGTTTTCTTCATTTGTAACTATTTTAGGCATAAGAACTTCAAACGTTGGTGGTTCTGGCGTAGGCTTATTTGTTGGAATTGGTGAGGACTCTTTCTGTGGTAGAGATGGCTCATGAACTGGTATTAACTCTTTCTGTGGAGGAGGTGAAGGTTCTTTTGGAGGCAATTTTGGTTTAGGTTTCTTGTACTTTGCAGGTTTATCAGGCATACTTATCAGCTTTTGTTGGATTCTTTTCTGTTCTATGGCCTGGTCCATTTTGTTGTGATCGAAGCCTCTCTTTTGGATAACTTGAGGTTTTAGATTTACATCTCCCATTCCTCTTATTCTTATACTTGTTCTCATGTCATCAACAGACTCTGATCTCATTGGAGCAAAAATAGCATCCAACTTCATAACCGTAGATCCACGTTCTTGTTCCTGCATCTTACGCTTAACACAGGGACTCATCACAGTAATTTGATCAGTTTCTTCATCTACGTAAAACAAGATCATTTTATTTATTTACAATTTATCAAATCAAGTTTTTTTTTAGCATAACTTATACACAGTACACACCAATCCAGCCAGCCTATATTTTGTGCATAAAACTTGCAGAGCTGCGATTTTTTGTGATGGATAGTCATAATCCTGAACCCTTGATTTTAATATCCATTGCAGGCACTTTTAATATATTAAATAAAGATAAAAAACTTTAAAGTAACAAAAGATCGAGATCAAGCAGTGATCTTGATATCCACATAACAAAAATTCCCACCTCTGGTTGGACTTAACACTAGGTACCTTTTATTGCATATACAATTTGATTACACTAGACTGCAGGCCAGTACAAGTTTATGCTTATTTAGATCAATTTTGTAACAATTTGAATGGTCGGTTCAATGGATACCATAACCACAACTTGGGATGGATCATTTTCACTTTTCTAAATAAACAAATCGCTTTTTTAACAACAATTGTTTTTTTTAGAATTATAAAACACATAATTCTTTTTTTAGATTTAGTTCGTCATTCATTTACATGTAAGAATGTGTGAGAGTGTTGCATTTAATTACAATTGTTTTTGAAGAAATGCACTGCATGTTAATATTGACAAGTGAATAATGAACTTTTATGTTCTAATCAATAGAATCTTTTACTTACCTGATAATATAGTTTCAATTGGAGATTTAGGTCTTGATTCTCTGTGTGGGAAACCAACTTTGCCATCTTTACCCTACCATAATTTATGGGATTAATAAGCTGTTAACAAATTTACAGGTGCCTCCTTTAACAAAATTCATTTTCTGTCCTCAGGGCAACACTGCTCAAACAATTTTGAAATGTTTTTTTTTTAATTTCTGAATCAGTGAAAAGAGATTGGGTATACAGTATTAAAAGAAGAACAACTTTCCATTAGATGTCAAATTTGTTACCCCCCCCCCAAAAAAAAAAAAAAAAAAATTTGCCAGTATCCTTTTTTCTCCTGTCTCAATAGGAGGGAGGAGGATAAAGAAATAGAGTATAACTAATTTCAATAAGTACCTTTGAAGCTGACTCAAACAGCTTTGACCTTGATGAAGATTTCTGTAAATCTGTGTCCAATCCAAGCCTTTATCAAACAGAGATTAGCTTAATCAGTGATTCATGAATTTAAAATTGTTACCTAAGTTCACTTCTGGATCGAGATCTTTCAATGGATACAAAAGTTGTTTTGATCTGAGAGAAAAGATCTGTTTCTTTTGGCTTCACAATCAAGTCACTTCCCTGAACATTACACTTCAACAGCCTATTCTTTCTATCATTTTTGTTTTAATAACAAAAAAGTCAAGAATGATTTATTACCTGATTATCATGATTAGTTATATTTATTTGAACTCCATGATAAGATTCAACTGCTTTCTGTTCTGATAGTAGTTTTGAATTGGTGTCATTTTCTTTAAACCCTTCTGTAGGGAACTCTCTTTTATCTTTTGGGTTATCTTTCTCCAGTATGTCAGTACTGAACTCATCATCACTATCCTCTGTAGTAAAAGAGTTTTCACTACATTCAGAGTTAGCATTCACAACATTGCTAAGCTTGTTTTCATCATCCTTGCTTGTCTCAATATCTCCTTTTTTTAGTGAAAAATTTAAAACATTTTTACTTTCTGCAAATTCTGGAATGTCTTTATTGACTGACCCAGCATTTAGAATTAAGCTTACTTCTTCTGCAATCTCTGGATTATTCTGTTCTAGCAAAGTAATATTTGTATTGACAGATTTAAGATTTTCAGTAGTTTCAGTATTTGTAATATTGCCTTCTTCCGCCTGATTTTTAGATGGTGTGTCAGTTGGATGACAAATTATATTTTTTTCTTCTGTTGAGTTTGATGATGTCTTTGGGATTTTTTCATCTGTAAACTCACAAATACCTTGTTTTGACTCATTTTCTATCAAAGATAGCTCATCTGTTACTTCTATCACTTCATGGCTTTGCTGAATATTATCTAGAGAACTATTTAGGTCCGGCTTTGCAACTCTCTCATGCATGCAATTGCTTTCTTTCTTCTGTTCACTTGTTTTTTCTCTAATAATCACATCATTTACGTTTTCTGCATTATTGCTTTCTGTATTTGTTAGCTTTGGAGATTTATCACTATCAATGTTCTCATTGGGGTCTTTGTTAGTGTCATTTGAGGTAGTTTGATTGACAAGGTTGGGTAGATTTGTCTCAATAGATAAAGATTCATTGTTGTTGGACACCTCAGGACTAGACTTTTCACCTGAAATCAGTTTTTATTGAGTCTAGAATGAAAAATAGAAAATTTAATTTAGAATGTTTTAGGAGAAATTAATATAGAATGTTTTAGGAGAAATTAATATAGAATGTTTTAGGAGAAATTAACATAGAATGTTTTAGAAGAAATTACTATAGAATGTTTTAGGAGAAATTAATATAGAATGTTTAAGGAAAGGCTAATAAAAAATCTTTTACAAAAAGTTAAGATAGAATTTTTTAGAAAAAGTTATTGTAGAATGTTTTATGTTTACATCTTATAGTGGCGAAAGTCTTAAAAGTAAGGAACTGATTTAATGTTAAAAAAACTCCAATTTTATAATCTCAATATTTGCGAAACCTGATGATGTTAACCTTTGATAAAAATTAGATTTTTTAATCTAGCAGAATTCAAATTCTGAAACATCAAAAATCTATGAAATTGGGTTAAAAAAATATAGGAAAATCAGACTTTGTATCAAAAACTCAGTTCCTTTGTATCAAGAACTCAGTTTCTTTGTATCAAGAACTCAGTTCCTTTGCATCAAGAACTCAGTTCCTTTGTATCAAGAACTCAGTTCCTTTGTATCAAGAACTCAGTTCCTTTGTATCAAGAACTCAGTTCCTTTGTATCAAGAACTCAGTTCCTTTGAAATTTTTTTAGGTTTTTGATTTGTAGCCACTTCTTTAGCTGTTTTACGTAGAAATTCTCAAAAAATTATAAAATATGTTACCAAATCCAAATATTCTCTTGATAAAATTCATATCTTTCGTGTTCAAATTCTCCCCCTCTACTGCCTGAGATCTGATAAAAAATGTTTTTATCTAATTTTTGTAATTTCATGTGTGTAGTTTAATATGTTGATCAAGCACTTTTTTGGTTGTAGAAAATAAATATTTACTACTTAAATAAAAAAAGTTTTCTGCTTTTTGTAAAAATAATTTCTGTTTTTAATTAAAAGAATTCTGGCTACTTTAAAAGAATTTAAAAGAGAAAGCAAAAAAGAATTTGACGATTGATTGCATATCTGTCCTCGAAATTGAAAGACCTGTTTATTTACTAAAAACATAGAAAACAAGTTCCTCGAGCTTTCTGTGACCTCAGGGATACTTCCTGAAACAGGTTCCGGGATCAAACAGCTGATATTCATAGCTTCAGGGTCAACACAGCCTTTGTTCACAGTTTCAGTGTCATCAACACTTATCTTGGAAGTTTCAGGGTTAACACAAATAATGATAGAAGTTTCAGTGTCAGCAATATTTTTAGTAATATTTGCAGGCTCAATAGGCAATACTGGAAAAAGAAGTTCTGTAGTGTTAACTAGAGAAGTAGCAGTAATTTCCATAGCAGAAGCTGCAGAAGTAGCAGCTAAAGGAGTAGTTGAAGTAGGAATAGTAGCAGCAGGATAAGTAGCTGCAGAATTACTAACTGTAGGAGGGGGAGCTTCATGAGTGGTAGCTGCAGGATTAGTAGCTGTAAGAGAGGTAGCTTCTTTAAAAGTAGCTGCAGGATTAGTTGCTGCAGGATAAGTAGCTAAAGGAGTAGCATCTGCGGAATTAGGAGCTGCAGGAGGGGTAGCTACAGGAGCAGAAGCTGCAAGACTAGTAGCTGCAGGAAGGGTAGCTACAGGAGTTGGAGCGGCAGAAGTGGCAGCTACAGGAATTGTAGCTGCAGGAGTAGTTTCTACAAGAGAAGTAGCTCTTGGAGTATGATCTACAGGATTATTAGCTGCAGGAAAAGGAGCTTCAGAGGTAGTAACTGAAGGATAAATAACAACAGGAGTAGTTTCTGTGGGAGTAGTAAATACAGGGGTAGTAGATGCAAGATCAGTAGATTTAGGAGTAGGAGCTGCTGGAGTAGTAGCTGCAGGAGTAGTAGCTGAAGAAGTAGAAACTGCAGGAAAAGTAGCTGCGGGAGTAGTTTCTACAGGAATAGCAGCTGAAGGAGTAGAAGTGGTAGCTTCAGGAGTAGTAGCTGAAGAAGTAGTAGCAGAAGGAGTAGTAGCTGCATGAGTAGTAACTGAAGGAGTTGTAGGTGCAGAAGTATTAGATGCAGGAGAAGAAGCTGCAGGAGTAGTTGCTACAGGAGTAGTAGCTGCAGGAATAGTATCTGCAGGAGTAGTAGTTGCAGGAGTAGTAGCTGCAGGAGTAGTAGCTGCATGAGTAGTAGCTGCAGGAATAGTAGGAGAAGTAGTAGTTTCAGTAGGAGAAGTACCTACTGTACCTAAAGAAGTAGCTGCATGAATAGTAGCTGTAGAAGGGGAAGCTGCAGGAGTAGTAGCCACAGGAGTAGTAGCCACAGGATTAGTAGCTGGAGGATTAGTAGCTGCAGGAGTAGTAGCTGCAGAAGTAGAAGCTACATGACTAGTAACTACAGGAGTTGTAGCTACAGGAGAAGTAGCTCCAGGATTATTAGCTAAAGAAGTAGCTAAAGGACTAGTAGCTGCAGGAGTAATAGCTATAAGATTAGTAGCTCCAGAACGGGTATCTGCTGGATCAGTAGCTTTAGGATTGGCAGCTACAACAGTAGCAGCTTCAGAAGTAGTAGCTGCATGAGCAGTAGCTACAGAATTAGAAGCTGCAGGAGTAGTATCTACAGGAGTAGTACCTGCTGGAGTAGTAGCTGCAAGAGTAATAGCTGAAGGAGTAGAAACTGCAGGAAGAGTAGCTTCAGGAGTAGTAGCTGCAGGAGTGGTAGCTACAGGAGTAGAAGCGGAAAGAGTAGAGGTAGTAGCTGAAGGAGTAGTAGCTGAAGGAGTAGTAGCTGCAGAAGTATTAGCTGCAGGAATAGTAACTGAAGGAGTTTCAGCAGGAGTAAAAGTAGAAACTGCAAGAGAAGTACCTACTGTACCTAAAGAAGTAGCTGCATGAATAGTAGCTGTAGGAGGGGAAGCTACAGGTGTAGTAGCTTCAGAAGTATTAGCTACAGGAGTAGTAGCTACATGAGTAGTAGCTACAGGAGCTGAAGCTACAGGAGTAGTAGCTCCAGGATTCTTAGCTAAAGAAGTAGCTACAGGACTAATAGCTGCAGAAGTAATAGCTACAGGAGTAGTATCTACTGGATTGACTTTATGATTGGCAGCTACAACAGTAGTAGCTTCAGAAGTAGTATCTACAGGAGTAGTAGCTACAGGAGTAGTAGCTACAGGAGTCGTATCTGCAGGAGTAGTAGTAGTAGGAGTAATAGGTACAGGAGTAAAAGGTACAGGAGTAGTAGCTGCAGGTGTAGAAGCTGCTGGAGTAGTAGCTGCTGAAGTAATAGCTGCTGGAGTAGTAGCTACAACTGTAGTAGCTACAACAGTAGTAGCTTCAGAAGTAGTAGCTGCAGGAGCCGTATCTACAGGATTAGAAGCTGAAGGAGTAGTATATACAGAAGTAGTAACTACAGGAGTAGTATCTACAGGAGTAGTATCTACAGGAGTACTATCTGCAAGAGTAGTGGCTACATGAGTAGTAGCTGCATGAGTATTATCTACAGGAATAATAGCAGCAGGAGTAGATTCTGCAGGAGTAGTAGCAGCAGGAGTAAAAGGTAAAGGAGTAATAGCTGCAGGAGTAGTAGCTGCTGGAGTAGTAGCTGCTGGAGTAGTAGCTGCTGGAGTAGTAGCTGCTGGAGTAGTATTTACTGGAGCAGTAGCTGCTGGAGTAGTAGCTACAGGAATAGTAGCTGCAGGAGTAGTGGCAGCAGGAGTAGAATCTACAGGAGTAGTAGCTGTAAGAGTATTATCTACAGGAGTAGTAGCAGCAGGAGTAAAAGGTACAGGAGTAGTAGCTGTTAGAGTAGTAGCTGCTGGAGTAGTAACTACAGAATTAGTAGCTGCAGGAGTAGTAGCAGCAGAAGTAGAATCTACAGTAGTAGAATCTACAGGAGTAGTAGCTGCAGGATAAGTAACTACAGGATTAGTATCTGCAGGAGTAGCAGCTGCAAAAGTAGTAGGAGCAGGAGTAGTATTAGCTGCAGAAGTGGTATCAACAGGAGTAGTAAATGTAGTATTAGTAGCTGGAGGATTGATAAAAGACCGAGTTGTTTTTGGAGAAGTAACTTCAATAGTATTAGTTAAAAGAGTACACATTTCAGGAGTGCTGGCAACAGGTGTAGTTGCAACAGTAGTATTTGTATGACTGGAATCTGCAAGAGTTGAAAAAAGGTGAGTTGGAGCTAATGGAGTAGACACTACTAGAGAAGTAGCTACAGTTGCAGTAGCTGCATCAGTAGAGGAAGTATTAATGATATCTGTAGAAACTGTAGAAAAACTAACTTTCGGACTCAACACATCATCTACAAGAGAAGTACTAACAATGATTGCTTCAGAAGTTGTAATCACAGAATTTTTTGTTTCTAAAGAAATGTTTGTGGGAGTAAAGGGTTCATAATTTGAAGCAGCAGAAGTATTGGTATCTAAAATATCAGAGGCATTAGAATTTGAAGTTACTGTGGAAAGCATTACGACAGGAGTTTTTTCAGTACTTGTTTCAACCACTCCAGCTTTGGACATAGTAGTTGCTGGAAATGAGAAAACTCCAGAACCAACTTGAACAGAAGCAACTTGGGTATTTGTTGTTGACGTTGAAGTCCCAAATGAAGAATTAGTATCCTTGGAAGTAGTTGCTGATATAATAGAAGTTTCAGGATCGTGCTTAAACGCTTTACTTTCAGCCAAAGTGAGGTTAGATTCAGAAAAATTTGAGGTAGGCATTTGGGTTTCTGTATTTATTAGGTTCACGGGTAGATTGTTTTGAATATGCTGCAGTGAATCAGTATCAAATGAAGGATTTGAAACAGATACCTCTAAAGAGTTTGGCTCATTATTTCCTGTAGCAATTGAAGTGCTTTTTGTAGTAACAGAGTTAGACTTTACTTTATCTTTTGGTTCATTTACAGAGAATTCATTAAGTTTTGAAGTATTTTTACTAGCATTGATTTCACTTGGAGCTTGAATTGCTAAGCTTGCATGAATAGGGTTTATAATAGTTTCTTGTTGGATTCTATAGTCAGGAATAGGATCATCTAGATCAGGAACATCATCGTCATCTGTGATACAATCATCATCTTCATTCAGAACAAGATCTTCATTTGTGTTATCTTAAAATGTCAATTGGAAACAAAGTATTTGTAAATTTCTTCAGACGGAGGCCGAATTAAAAGAATTTGAGCAGGTGATCAAGTATGAGACATAGTTTAAACACATGGTTCCAAATTGTAATCAGTGTTTCGAGATTTGAGCCGGCGCTCAATTGAAACCAGTTTTTGGTGGATAAGGGACATGGTTTAATTTCTTTAAATTTTGACCTCTAAAGAACTTTTGAAAAAGATTTTGTCAAGGCAAGCCAATAATTGTTTTTTGTTTCAAATATTATCTTTCCTTGATTAAATCTATCTTGTTGAACATGTCCATTTTTATGATCCTGGATTTGTGAATTCGAAAAACATTTCTCCAAGGGTGTACTTCAGAATAGATACAAAACTTATTCTTCAAAAAAACTTTGCAAGCTTTCCCTGGAATTTACAATGACCATAATTCAAATGTGGGTTTAATAATCATAGGCTCAAAAATTGTTATCATCATTAAACTTCAAATCTTATTCAATGATATAAAATGAACAAATTAAAATAACCTAGGAATAGCAATTAAACAATTTATATAAATAAATACAAAAATCATAACAGATTCAAAAATTGATAATTAAAAAAAAAATAAGTTTTAATGTTTGTATCTATTTGTTCCTGTATGTTGCAGAACCGGTTCTTACAATATTGGCAAACCTGGCCACTTTGCTTTCTATCACTCGCTGAGGATCAACGATTTTTATCATGTTACTACAACATAATTTATCATTTCAAAACTCCACTTCAAAACTCCATTTCAACTCGAATTTAACTCCACTTTTGAACTGCAGTCACCAACTGGGTGAAATCTTGGTGCATAAACTCGACTTTTTTAATCACCCACATATCATCCATATATCACCCACATATCATCCATATATCACACACATATCGTCCAAATATCACCCAGTCGATATTTTTTACAACCCCCCAACTTGATAAAAAGTCAAGTTTTTACCCAGATATGGCACGACTATTGCAGGAAAAAACTCCCCTTTGAAATTCGATTAAAACTCCACTTCTCATCATCCAGATATTACCCAAATATCATCAAAATATCATCCAGAAATCATCCAGAAATCATCCAGAAATCATCCAAAAATCATCCAGANCCCCCCCAACTTGGTGAAAAGTCGAGTTTTCATCCAGTTATGGCACGACTATTGCAGGTGAATTCTCCACTTTTAAACTCGATTAAAACTCCACTTCTGGAAAGCAAAAGTCGAGTTTTACTCGATTTTAACTCGAGTTTTTGTTTGCTGGGTGCTACTATATATTTTCTCATCTACAGTTTTTATCATATTTTTCTACAATATATTTTGTCATTTTCAACAGTTTTTGTCATGTTACAAAATATATGTTCCTTAAATGTTCAAATTTCTGTTTAAATTTTTAAATATGTTCCTAAAATGTCCAAACTGGTTTCTGAGGGCAGGAAGATCCGGATCATGAGTCCACTAATAAAAAAATTGGATAAAATAAGGAAAATATAAAAAAGATATTTAAAGATAATAAGATAAAAAATCTGCTTTAATTGACCAAAAAAGTCAAATTTTAAGATGATTGTTTTTTTGACAATTTAAAAGTTTCTTTTGTGGTTTTAAAAATTTACCTTTCCGTCTACAGAGAAGCAGTATTCAAACCTACCCTGACCAAGCTCTGTCTTCACCTCGAAATATCCTAAAGAAAAATAGGGGAAAAATGCTTTTTAAATTGTGTATTTTCTCTTATCTTTTTGGAAAAGGTTTGTATATTTTCTCGGTTCATATTAAAATACAGTCGGTGTTATATATAGCAATATAATGAATACTGCTTTCTATTTTTATTTTTACCAAGCTTACAGCATGTGGATACTTTTGTACAAAATTGCATTTTTATGAATTTTTGTATAAATATCTATAATATATAATATTATAGGTTCGTTCAGCTTCTGAGATTCTCAGATTTCAACCTATACCCCCTTTTCCTTTACAGTCCCTTTAACGAAATTTTCCCTTTATTTTCTCTCCAATTTACCCCATTAATTATGTTTTATACCTTCTGTGTTTCTGTGCATAGGAAGGGTTATATTCTGATTAGTATTGAAGATGCAGAGGTATATATCCTCCCCGCCATGGTCCCAAACAAATCTTAACAAATTTACTTTTTTTTGGGGGGGGGGGGTCATAGGTACAGTGTATGGTATTGGTAATACATAGTTTATATAATACAGCTCTTCGCTCACATATATTTATTGTATGTATACATACAAATTTATATGTATAAACCAAATATATACAGTCAAACCCTAAATGAGCCATTCATCAAAAGAATTTATCAAATTTCGTCTTGACAATTTTATAATGGGTTTTATACTATTTTACGTAAATCTCAGTATTTGCGAAAATAAAAATAGCCATAAATATGCGGGAATAGTTTAAAGAGCTCCATATAATCATTTAATTAAAAAACTAAATATCTGTAACATTCCATTATTATCAGAAAGTAAAGATTAACAGGATGCTATCTCTGAATAGTTGAATAATGATTAATAAATATTCTGTACATTTTGTAAATTTTTTGATTTTGTAATTTTCCATTGTCGCACCACTGCCAGCCTGCTTAAAGGGAGTGACCGGCAATGTATGGTAGTTTAACTGAGAATGTAGTTTGGTGGAGATATTTTTGAGAATAAATTTCAGACATATAAAACGTTTTAATAATGTATAACTACTGAGGTAGAGCGCAAAGTCGACGTTCAAAATCATCCATTTAGGTGGTTACCTTTTTAGAATCGTTATTTTTTAAATTATTAAATAACAACGACGAAAAATGAATCAGAAATTCTACAAATTCTTCAAATGTCGTCTTTTCGATAACAATTCCAGAAAATCTACAAAATATGTTTGTGAAGAATGAGAGATTACAGAAACTAATAACAAATTACGATTTTTAAATCTAAATAATCCAGTGAAAATTATTTGAAACGTTTAAATTTAAACCACATCATTACTTGCTGCTAATACTCAAATCAAGAAAATAGATTCTTTAATAAATAAAGAAATATAATCTCTGTAGACGTGACTTCAAGTGACCCTTCAGTGCTAGAGGAACAAGTCCGATTCTCAATGGTACATGTAATCGTAAAAGCTCTGTCTGATCAAGTATGAATTTGATATCTATGTTTATAGTTTCGAAAACTGATAATGCAGGTATATCTACCAAATTCACCTGTGAGCAGATTTTTCATAGTTGCTAACTTACATTTTTTGTTGTTGTACTACAGTGAAACCCTTAATAACGAATACATCTAAAGAATGTCGTATTCTTCACTTTCTGATAATGGAATGTTGCAGATATTTAGTTTTTTAATTAAATGATTATATATTACGTAATATAGTATAAAACTCATTGAAAAATTGGCAAGACGACATTGATAAATTCTTCCGATGTATTCGTTATTAGGGGTTTCACTGTATGTATTTTAAACATTTTAGCTCATAATGACTCTTACGCTGTTTCTGACGAATTTTGAATGAGGGATCAAAATATAATTATTACCTTGTTTCAAATCTTCTGTCAGGTTGACCCCCCATTTTTCTAAAATACAATAAATTTAAAGATATTAAATGTAAATTTTCAGGAAATCTGAAGATTAGGATAATCCAGAGTTGCCTAAAGCTTTTAGGTACGCTCTTATTATAATTGAATATAATGATTATTTAATTTTAATAGATATATAATTGATTATATAACTGTTACGTCTGTATCACGTGAACAGAATTTCCACCAATTGCCATTAAGTATCTTGTCACAAGGCTCCGTTGCTATTTTGATGTGTTGCGCATGCTCATTTCTGCAAAGCGGAGGCATGGTCTGCCTATCAACTCTGGGAGGCTCGTGTCTGCATAGCGGAGGCTCATGGCGTCCGGGGGTTCCCTCCCTCGTCAACTAGATTACGTAATATGAGTTTTTTATAACTTTGACACAATTTTATACCAATTTCTCAAGACAGGGACATCAGATAGAAATAATATTGGTTGCGATTATAGCTCCTAAAATGTTTAGGCTTCAGTCTTCACTCTCTTTCATTTTACCTTTACTGTCCCTTTAATTTAAATATGTCTTGTTTTTAACTTATCTATCATCATACATTCATAATAAAATTTCCCCAGAATATTTTTAAAATAAAAACACACTGCATAAAAAATATCAATAAAGAAAGGCAAAAAAACTAATTTTTTGCTGTTAAGTTACTCCCCCTTGCAATGTCAAAATAAAGTGAAGGGGTCAGATCTTTGCTTCTCAAGGCCAATACTTTTTGATTATATCCAAAAAATAGTTACTGTGTTACTTATCTGCAATATTATGTCCAAAAAATAGTTACTGTGTTACTTATCTGCAATATTATGTCCAAAAAATAGTTACTGTGTTACTTATTGTCTCAAAAAGATAACTATTAAATGTATGTAGTAAGGAAGTAACTTTTACACTATCTCTCTGTTCATGTCATTGTGTCAAAAATTGGCGATGTTTTGAGAAAATTTCGCAAAAAAACTAATGTTTAAAAAAGAAATATTTGTAATATATATTTTTTCTTTTTTGGTATAAACACTTAACAGTGACTTTGATAATAAAATATTAAGATGTTGAAAAATGTTAATTTCAGTGAAACATGTTCTGAAGTTTACAGAATTCGGAGGCCTGACCTCACCTCCCCTCGACACGCCACCCGGTCAACTCAGCATTTTACCGATTCAAAAAGATTAATACACTTTAAGGGACATATAATTTAGAGTAACCCACTATTCCCGATTCACAACGGTACCCTTGAAACCTTTATCCGATTAATGATGTGGAGGAAATTGTTGTTTTTCTAGGTTTGACAGTTTATATTTCAGTTGATAATTCCTTTATGTTTTCCTGCAGTAGAAATGCCCAAGTCACTCTTGTAATGAAATAATCGGTTTATTTTTATTTTTAACACTGATATCTAATTCATACTTGAATAGACAAAGCATTTTTTAAAAGACAGTTGTGAATCGGGCATTTCCATTTTTACATGAAGGGTCACTTCAAATTACGCTTACAGTCCCTTTAAGATGATGTATTAAATACTGATGTATTCACATATTTATGGATGATAAATACTTTATGAAATCTTAGAATAATAGGGTTGTAAGGCGCTTTACACCCTCTATTTTTCTCTATTTTAAAGATACAATTGGATTTTTGCAAATTTCTTTTCAGGCCGCCATCTTTGTATCTTTGTCGAAAAACTTTAAAAGTTTTGCTGATTTTCCAGTTTGGTTGGGTTTATGAAAATTAAATTAAAAGCCTTCACTCCCTAGGGGCGTATGAGGTTGTACAAAAAATGTGGACACAATCGGTTCCGCCCTATTAATCTAAAATAGATTATAAAAAACAATAATTTTTAAAACATAAAATTTATGCTAATTCACCATTTGTTAAATTTGTAACTATAAACCCATACAGCGAAGAAAACAATCAAACTATAATTAAATCAATTTTATTTTAAAGATTTTATTTAATAAATTTACTTTCAGATAATGATTCAATTGTGGCTCATGTAGTGAACTGAGGAGATAATTGAGGCTCGGGTGTAGAATTGAGGGGCTCTCCTCCCTTTATGCCTTCAATTTATATTTCTTAAATGACCGTTATTTCCAATATCGATTCTCCCGCCTCTATAGACCAGAATAGGGCTGGAGTTATCAAACAACTTTTTCATTCAAAATTATTTTTCTTTTTTGGATTAATTTTTTCTTAATTTAAATTAACATATGTAAAAGGTTGTAATTACTGACAGTATACATTACGTACAGTCGACTTTGAAGTCTCAATCTTTGTGGTAACCATGTAATATGTATATTAGGCTCCCAAAGCACTAACAATCTAAAGTTCGCAGATTTTTTTAAAAGGAATTCACTGGACGCAAATGCTTTTTTTCTTATACAAAATTAGTCCACTTACCTTTTTTGTTTGCTAATCCACTATTTGCTTAATACAATGATATTTCAAGGCCTGCTACTATAGGTTCAAAATGTATGCACTTATGTTTTGTTAAAATGAATGTTTGCTTTATATATGTACATAGTACAGGAATAGGAGTATATTTCTTTTGTTCCCAGATCGATTGTTTCTCAATAAATATTAACAACCTTTCTTCAAACAATCAGTAGGAAGTATGAATTCGGTTGAGACTATACAGCGTTTTATTAAACTTGGCTTGCTGCCATTAAGCAAAGATAAAAATGGCGAACCTAAACTAAATCTAACCAACGAGAAGTTTATAATCCTCAACTTGGTCAGAATGTTGGGGATAACTGGATATCTTTATTTAAGCATCATTGATCTGTTAAATAACGACCTCAGCATGAAATCAGGAAACGAATTTAATGAATTGGAAAGGTTGCTGAACTACCTACCGCCAGTTCAAATCCTTTTCTTTGAGTCGGTAATTCAAGATTTGAACCGACGGTTGGTAGTTCAGCGACCTTGCTCAAACTCATTAAATTCGGTCCCAGGGATATCATTTACGTTCAGAATACTAGGATATTTGGGCGGATTTGTTTTGCCAGCACTCACAGCTATCACAGGACAACGCTTGGGACCTAATTCCTTCCGAGGTCAGAGCCCGCGATTTAAAAACTTCGGCTAGAGCCGTAATTCCTTAAACCCGACTTTAAGACCCAACTCGACCCAACTCTGACGACAGCTTGTGTCACGTGATTGACAGCTGCAAGATCTTCGGCTCGACTTAAGGAGCTAGGCCCAATGAAAATAAAACCGACCTTGGTTGGTTTTAGTGGAGAATTAGACTCAATCTTGAGTCTTGTTCTAATAAGAACCCGGAATGCGCCAATTCCTACCATGAAAATCCACCAAATAGATTATTAAACCGGTTTACTTTTTTGAACTCAACTCTGTGTAAAGTAAGATGCAGCTTGAATCCGAAAACTCAAGCCGTAAATAAGGCCCAACGACAGCTTAGACCCGAGCCGTATTTCCCGAATTTTTTAAATCGCGGGCTCAGAGTAGAGATGGCCATTCATTTTCAGAAAGAAAGAAATTTTTCGTGAACGATAATGCCATTCAGAAAAAAACGAACAATGGACGAACGGCTTGGACCATTCAGAGAAATGAAACATCTCGTTTTTTAAAAACAATCGAGTTATAGTTTATTGGCAAATTCTAAATTGTTCCTTTAAACAGAGTTGAAAAAGATGTCGTTTTTTACTGAATAAATGAATTTTGTCAAACAGACTTTTAAAAAACAATCATTTTTTTACTGAAAGAACGATTTTATATTGAACAACCAATCTTACTGAACAAACAATTTAAATGAACAATTGCTCAGTAAGAAAAGGAACCACATAGATAGAAAATGAAAGAAAACTTGAAAACTAACTAAATTAATTTTTGGGATGATTAAAAACGCAAGAAATTGGTTGTTCACGACTGATAAAAATAAATGAAAAAAACGCTCCCATCTCTAGGTCAGAGTGATACTTGTTGCTGGAAAAATTGGACATTAATTGGAGTTTTGATATCTCTTTATGCATTTGGAATTCTAACCATGCATATACACTTTCTTCTCAGAAAGGAAACGGTGGCAGAATTTTCTGTGTTTTTCATATGTTTGGCGGTTAACTTTCTGTTCATTTACTTGGATTACGGAGTTTTAATGGCCTCTTGCTTTCTTTGGGTCAACGATTTAAAATCAAAGTTAAAACATATCCTGGCCCAAAATAAAGCAACAGTTGAAGAATTTGAGGAAATCTTGCTTGAATTCTCAAAGCTGAGATATTCAATGGAAGTTCTTGCATCCTTTGTATTTCCACTTTCTCAAGTACTAGCCGTGGCTTCAGCTTACCTAGGATTTACTGCAGGTAGAACATTTTTGTTTAGAGATTTATAATTTTAACAACACATTCATAAGTGGGCTTTTTAAAGAAATACAGTGATAACCAGAAAACTGTAAAATAGGAAGACGACATTAAAGCAATATTGAAGTGCATTAAATGGTGTTGCTAAGCAAACAGCTATACTAGTGAGTTATTGAATTACTCATTAAATGAATAGGTCTGTTTAAACTGCACAAAATCTCTGCCTCATGTGCATTGGACTTGTTAAAATCATAACTTAAGTCTAACAGTCGTCTTCCTATTCCAGAGTTTTCTGGTTCTCACTGTACAATATATTTCAATATTATTTTATGGACGAAATTTTAGGAAATATTTTTGTTAAACATCATTGATTAGGAATAATTTAGTTGATACACTGTTAAAAAAAACTTTTAATTGAGAATAGTTTAGTTGATACACTGGTAAAAAAAACTTTTAATCAGGAACAATTTAGTTGATACAATGTTAAATGAAATTTTTAATCAGGAATGATTTAACTGTCACACTGTTAAAACAAACTTTTGCATATTTCAAAGTAAGAAACATTTTGTTAAAAAATACTAGAAATACAAATATTTGTCAAATAGGGTTAAGATGCGCCAGATGCTGTAAAAAGTCTGGCCACGATATCAAAGTTTAAACCGAGTCGGCATAGGATAGGTCAGGCCAGTGCTTGTTGCATATCACTAAGGCCGGTACAAGGGGTTTATCTGGTTTAAATTCAAATTGATCATAGTCCACAGTGCCCCAACATTATGTACTTAATTTTAAGCAATATGCTTGAGATGATAATTGATAATCATAATAAAAGTTATGCAACAATATCTACTTTATCAGAGAACATTTACATCTATGGCAGTCTTCTGCCCTCAACAGGAATTATTTTTCTGCTGCTGACTGTTGTGAATGTTCTTGAGGATCTATATAATCTAATGGATGAAGCTACAGACAAGGCAGAGAATAGAGATAGATAGAGTTTAAATCCCCCAACCACTCGACCCCTTCGCCCAATCTCCTGCCTTAGCTTGCTGGAACCCCCCTCCCATTTGGCGTGTAAGCATACTGCTATATAAATGTATTTTAATAAAAATTCCGCCGTAGAGGTCACTATGACTTTAGAAAGCTGTGAGAAAACAGCATATTGCTCGCTTGCTTTTACAGGGTTTCAACTTTTTCAGCTGATGCAACAAAAACTACTCGTATAAACTTCATAGTCTAGTGTCATAATATAACAAGTTTTCCTGAAACTAAACCCTGTACTACAGATACAAGGAGATTCATAGTGTCTCAAGCATGATGTATGTTTTTAAAATCCATTCCGCTTGTTCGCAAGAACACCTTTATTTTATAATCTATAACTCTAAAAGGCAGAGGATCAAGGTCTACAACAATTGACTCTTCGAGAAATGCAAAGGTAATCATTATGGGACCAGTGTCCGAATTTAAAGAATTGGAGCCGAGGTTTAAATTTAAGCCGTGGTTTAAATATGGTCGGTTCCACTTAAAATTGTATCAAATGTTTCAAGATTTAAGCCGGCGCTTAATTTAAACCGCGGCTCAAATTCTTCAAATTCCATCTCAGATTTCAAAATTTGTGAGAAGTCATTGAGCTACCAATTCAAATCATTACTCATTGATTCAGACTTAAAGGGAGTGTTCGCGAAAAATGAAAGGGGGTGTAGGCTTAATGCGATAAAAAAGCGCTTTTGATCGCTACTAATCTTACTTCTATCTGTTGCTTCTATGAGGAGAAAATTGTTAGAAACGACTCACATGGAAGAACGCAGCGCCCATACAAATTCGGAAAGATGCAACATTCAACTCGGATCGTAAACAAATCAATTTAATTCCAAACAAATCATTCAGATATTACAAACAATAGTAATCGGTTATTTTTCGACGCATTCATATATAGTTAATATTTCATAATATTCTTGATTTTGTTTTTTTAGATTAATTTTCGCTGGCGCTGGATTTTCGAACATTCCTGGAAAATATGAAAATGTCGTCTTCATTATCAAAAATCCTCGAAACAGGAAAAAATGTAACTCTCAAATCATGAAAAATACAAAATATTATGAAATATCAACTATTTACGAATGCGTCGAAAAATAATCGATGACTATTGTTTGTAATATCTGGATAATTTGTGGGAATTAAATAGATTTCTTTACGATCCGAGTTGAATGTTGCATCTTTCTGAATTTGTATGAACACTACGTTCTTCGGTGTGAGTCGTTTTTAACAATTTTCTCCATATAGACGCAACAGATAGAAGTAAGATTAGTAGCGATCAAAAGCGCTTTTTTATCGCATTAAGCCTATACCCCCTTTCATTTTTCGCGAACACTCCCTTTAAAGGTTCATGAGAATTTAGGTAATAAATTGGAGAGTGAAGCGGTAATATAGGATTTGAACCAGTGGTAGGAAGTTTAGCGACTTCTGCAATTACTGAAATATCCAGGTCCAACTGCTGCATGATCTGAACTGGTACAAAGACTAATCAGTGCAGTTTATTTGTTCAAATATGCATTCACTTGTACCCGAATGTCTAGCTTACCATGCTTTATTGAAAAGACCAGTTTATTTCAAGTATATGCTGACTGTTAGACAGCTAGAGCAATTTGTACAGTATAGCAATATATATAAACAGTCAAAATGGGATCAGCCAGGACAAAGTGAATATCAACAAAAGTTGGCATGAATTTTCAGAAGTTACAAGTTACAACACATTTTGGAAACATTTAGAGTCATTCATCTTATTTCAAGTTTGCCCTTGAAAACCTATCAAAGACGATATACAAACAAATGTCCAATGGGACATATTAGAACTTGAAATCTCAAGTAACTTAAGCATTCAAATATTCAAATTCTTGGGGGGTTGTATGCAGAAAATACTTTTCTAATTAAAGAAATAATGGAAAGTGAAACAATCAATAAAAGATATTATGGGTTAAATTGCTTATGAAAAATCTATTATCAGTGTTAAAACTTTTCTACTTTCAGATTCAAGATTGTTGCTGCTAAGTTAAGGAGTGTGGGATCCTTTACTGGCTTCGGTTTCTTCACTATCCAACGTGACACATTGACAGCTATGCTTGAAACTACTATAACCTACATTATCATTCTGTTTCAATCTATTTCTTAGGAGCTTAAGACATGTATATTGTTTATTCTCAAAGTTGTCACAATTTCATGGAGCTAAGTAAAAAAACAATAGTTTTTCAAAAGTTTTGTAAAAAATGGTTTCTTCCATAAAAATAACATTAGTTTTTTTAAGTTTGTTCCAAAAAATAAAAACGATTATTTTTATCAAAATCTTCTGAAAAATTTGTTTGTTTAGTAAAAATCGATTGTTTTTTCACGTTTGTTCGAATTATTTATATCGTTAATTTTTTGTTCGTTTTTAAAAACGATCGATTATTTATTTCTCTTCAAGTCGTTCATCCATCCTTTTTTTTCTAAGCGACACCCTTTATCACGAAAAAAAATTTTCTTACAAAAAACGATGCCCAACTCTGGCTGAGATGCAATTGTAAAAAAGATATACTTGGATGGTTGTCACCAAAGAGAAAGGAAACGAAGAGGTAAAGCTTCCTCAGATGTACACAACCGACCTCCCTTATAATTAATAAATAGATTGGTCGGTTGTGTACTTCACGATATGTTTACGTAACTAACACTGTACACTTGGAGTGATCGTATTTCTAGGGGGGATTTTATAGAATTGATAATTTCACAGGTTTATGCTCTTTATCTAAATAGAAATTTTTTTCAAACTTGGTCTTTTCCCCTGACTAACATTTCCTTCTTTAAAATGGTTTGAGCAAATACAATTTTAGGGATAAGCGGTGGAATCCAACCTTAAAAGGTAGTACTAGCCATGCAGTGTTTTGATATTTTAAAAAAAACTCACATTTTTACGAGGAGAATTTTCACGATGCAAAATTTGGTCATTCTTTTATTAGCAAAAACAAACAACTGAACTGGAATGTACTGCAGTATATAATCCTGTGTTTATAATCCATATTAAGTGCCTATTTAATCATCTATACAAATATTCGATTATCTGCATTTTACAACCCCCAAAAAATATAATCACTCTATATACAACTATATGCAGATGTACAGTGTAAGATATGTAAACATATTGTGATGTATGCAACCGACCACTCTATTAATTAATTGACAGGGAGGTCGGTTGTGTACATCTGAGGTAAGCTTCACCTCTTCGTTTCCTTTCTCTATGGTTGTCACCTATTTGTTCCTCATCTATATTAATGGCGCTAAATATAAGCCAGTATCTCTATTGATATCTTAAAGTAAATCTTTTTGTTTTGTTTTCAAAATAAAGTTGTATTTGTTAGAGCTTAAAAATAGATAATTATAGTTTTGAACACATACTGTAAATTTTTTCTTTGAATATTTTATAAAATCCTTAGAAATGTTGGATATTTTAGTCAGTGTTTAAAGTATTATCTTTGAATTCCTAATTGGCCATGTTTAAAGTGTTTCAGTGTCATCATCATAGAGAATAGAATATATAGAGAGGAATTATCTAGAAAAAAGTGTAAAACGCCCATTTTGTTGTACTGTTTCCATACTGCAGGTGTACTTCACATATTTATGCTATATAACCTGTTGGGCCCTGGAATATCATTTTTTTAATTCCTCTCTATATATTCTATTCTCTATGGTAATCATGCTCAAAATGTTGATGCACTTTTTAGGCAGCAAGCTGTTTTGTTATTTAAAAATAAAATATCATTAGGACTAATTGATGCCACAAGAATTTTAAAATTTTCCACATTTTTTTAAAAAATATGTTATGAAATCAGTTTGAAGGTTTCAGAAATAATATTGAAACTGTTAGACATTTTACGACATTGATTCAAATGTCATTTCAGCTTGTTTTAGTTTATCTTCTATTATGTTCTTATGCAGAAGAATTAAATCTCAATCATTCTTGAGTCGTCTTTGCTTAATAATTATTAATCAATCATAGCTTATAAGTTGGATGCTTACTTCTATTGTATAAGAAATTAATTTTCAATAGATTTTTAAAAGCAAATCCCAGTTTGTCTAAACCTTTGATCGTATTTATGAAATTTAACTTGAATTTTGCCTAAATTCGAGACTACATTTTTTCTATGTACAAAAAAACATATTTATGCTTTTGGTCCATATATTATTTTAGAACTTGTCCACTCAATTCATGAAACCTGCTATCATTTTTATACAAAGCTAATCGGGTTATCTTCTTCACTCAGTGTAGAAAAGTGTATTTAGTTTTAGCAATGAGATGGGGCCGAGACTAGATTAGTCCAAATTTGAAAAGCTCAATAGTTATTACAAATTGTAGTCAAGTAAATCAAACAGTACAAGAGAATGAGAGGGGTTTAAAAAATTATGTCAGAAATCTAGAAAAAAACCCAGATATTTACGTTCTTGACAATGCTTAAAAAATGGCACATTATCTGTTTAAAGGCTTCAGAAATATGTAAATTTCAATTTCATTCAACTCATAATAAAAACAATCATATATCTATTTCCCAGGTAACAATTTCGCTGAAAATCCGCGGAAATTCTTAGGAATCTTTCCCAGGAATCCACGGAAATTCCCAGGAATCTTTTACAGAAAAATCCGGTGAAAATTGTCGTTAGAAATTCCGAGGAATTTCTCGTTACCCATTCCTAGAAATTTCCTGCATCCTATTCCAAGAAAATTTCTCGTAACCAATTCTGGTGTATTTCACGTAACCCATTTCAAGAAATTTCTCGTAACCAATTCCAGAAATATACTGCAAAATGACTGTTGTGACTAATATAATTTATAGAAGAAGACGTTCAAAACTATTCACCAACTGTCATGTTTTGTGGGACACCCTGTAGCATTAATTTATCAAAACTTAAAGATTTCAAAATATAGAATCTCAAACTTTATTTGAGCGAGTGACATGTGAGACATGTCAGTTTTCAATTTATATAAATAAAGATAAAGGAAACTTTCTATTTTTGAAGATACAAACATGATAAATAATTTAGAAGTTCTAGCTTTTAAAAGTTAAAATAACCTTAGATAGGTCATTGTAAACCATATGACGATTCCAATTCAATATTTGCTGGGACACTCGAGCAACCGAATATATATACTATAAGTCTAGTTAATAAAGGTGTTTAATCATAATTTTACAAAATCGAAAAATTTTCTTCTTATTTTTATTGTTTTTTTAGCTTTATGATAGTGAGGGATGGGCGTGGCACAAACTATAGTTTATAATTTGCAAAAAAGATTTAGATAGCGCCCTTACTGTATGCCCAGTGCCCACTGTACATCCTGCACAAAAAGGTTCCGGCATTGAGCACTTACAAACGACGCGTACCGGCTTATCAGACGCCGGTATGCGTCAACCCTGCTTCCTGTCTAGTTGTTCCATGACATCATTCTATAAACTATAAAAATAATTTTTTTCTAAACGGAAACGCCTATTAAAAAAGAGGAAACGCCTCAACAAAATAAAATTTAAAATTTTTTTTAGTTAGAACTTCAGGGCACAGGGTACTGCAAGATAAAGAATACTCCAGAGTACAGAGGGCTACATGGCACTGCAGGGTATAAGTTACTGCAGGTTACAGGGTACTGCAGGTTACAGGTACTGTAGTGTACAAGGGCACTGTGGGGTGCCGATGAACTGAAGGGTACAGGGCACTGCAGGTTACAGGGTAATGCAGTACCATGCACCCTGTAGTACCTCCCAGTACACTGCAGTACTCTATAGCAACACCATTACCCCTTAGTACCCCCATTACCCATTATTACCCCCAACACCCAGTAGAGTGCACCCCAGTACCCCCTAGTACTCCCCAGTACCCATTAGTATTGAGCAGTAACCAGCAGTACCATGCAGTACCCTGCAGTACCCCCACAGTACCACACAGTACCCCATAGTATCCCCACAGTACCCCACAGTACCCCCATAGTACCCCACAGTTCCCCACAGCACCCCACAATACCCCAAAGTACCCCGCAGTACCCAACAGTACCCAACAGTACCCTGCAGATATGGGGATTACAAATTGGCGTTGTTGCCATCCTTCCCTCCATTAAGTGATCAGCTGATTAGTATTAAACTAGCTTTTTTGTCCATGAAAATAGTGCAAAACTATAAAGAAAACATCCTTAGAAGTGCTTCTGACTCTACTTATATATNGAGAATTTAAAACTTTTTTTGAAAACCGGAAACGGACCCAAAAAAAGAGGAAACCGATCAACAAACTGAGAATTTAAAACTTTTTTTGAAAACCGGAAACAGACCCAAAAAAAGAGGAAACGGACCCAAAAAAAGAGGAAACCGATCAACAAACTGAGAATTTGAAACCTTTTTTTGAAAACCAGAAACGGACCCAAAAAAAGTGGAAACCGATCAACAAACTAAGAATTTACAACTTTTTCTGAAAATCGGAAACGGACCAAAAAAAAGAAGAAACGGACCCAAAAAAAAGAGGAAACCGATCAACAAACTGAGAATTTACAACTTTTTCAGAAAATCGGAAACGGACCAAAAAAAAGAAGAAACGGACCCAAAAAAAATAAGAAACCGATCACCAAACTGAGAATTTACAACTTTTTCTGAAAATCGGAAACGGACCCAAAAAAAGAGGAAATGGACCCAAAAAAAAGGGGGAAACCGATCAACAAACTGAGAGTTTACAACTTTTTCTGAAAACCGGAAACGGACCCAAAAAAAGAGGAAACGGACCCAAAATATTCGGAAATCCCTCTACACTTTTTAGTTTTTGAGGGATTTCCGATAATTCTTGAAAAAAGAAGGAAACAGGCCCAAAGTCACTTTTGGGTCCGTTTCCGTGTTGAGGCGTTTCCATAGCAACGGTGAAATACCGTCTACTTTTTATCAGCTAACACGCGGCTCTATGGCCTCCATCAGAGTTACCAGCTCCAAGATAAACGAAACTTAAACAAGGAATAAATAATTTCAAAATTGTTTTCAAAAAAAATATTTTATCTTCCAAAAAATATTAATACTTTGAAAAGCTAGCTAATGCATATGATTATATAATTATCATAACAATTTTCCGTAGAGAAAATTTTCAGTTTTCCAACCCTGCCAAAGCAACGTGTCCTTTTTAGCATCACTCACTATCATAAACTTAGTTTGGAGTATCATTCTGCGGTGCAAGCCAGAACCCTCTCAGAAACACTTGTGGTAAGTAATGTGCAGTGTTCATACTTATTATACTTATTACCTAGTTTATAAAAATGTATATATATATATATACATATATGTAAAATATAATTTTTTGTTACAAAGTTTATATAAATTTATTTTAGTCTGTTCTTATTTTAAAAATATCACGTGTTCACAGTATCTTTTTTCAATTTTTAGAATACATACCGTTATAACAAGAAAACAATAGAAAAAGAAGACAAAATAATAGCAATACTTAATCATGTATTTGATGTTGATACAAAGCAAATAGTCTTACTAAACACTTATGAAATCAATATTTTATTGAAATGGGTCTGTTTATACTGCACACTATATCTTTGCAACACATGTTTTGTAGACCTCAGATATTTCAAACTATGAGGTCTTTACAATCANACAAATTAATATATTGCCCCCCCCTAGCAAAAGTCCTAGTTGCGCCTCTGCCTGTGCTTGTTAGAGATGGGCAAAATTTTGTATTTTATAAGTGTGAAAAAATGTACTGCTATATTGTGAACCAAAACAATTTAACCAATACTATTTATTTTAAACTCTTTTATACAGAAAAACGAAACTTTATGCTAAATTTTGTGTACTACATTGAGCACTCATAAATTCAAGATCTAGAAAATTAAAAACATATTTTTAAACGAACCAAAATCAACGAACAAAACTGACCGTTAACAAACGATGAACGAACTAATTTTTAAAAAGTCGAATGAGCTTATCTCTCTTCTTGTAGATTTTTGTAAACTCTTTAAGCTGTAAACTGACTTTATGCAATACACAATCTTATCTTTACATGCATTAGCTAAAGGTATGTATTCTAGACTTACTGCAAAACAAATTGTGTTTCAGCACATACAAATTATCATAGTTTTATGTATAAAAAGAACTCGAAAATTTGGAATAATCTTAAATGGACTTTTTTATTCAATTAATCAATTAAATTAATTAAATTAATTAATTTCTTTCATAGTGACTCTAACTCCCTCTATCCGGGTTTCCGTTTTTTTCTCAATTTACTTAATTGTCCTCGCTTTATAAAACTGCAAGACAATTCTTCAGAGAACTGTCGGTTTTAGACGGAATACATGAAGAAAAATCCGTCAGTTTTGTTCAAAGGTTTAAAGAATCGGGTACTATTGGGATTTAGGGATGCCATTTGAGTCTGTCCTATTGAACGATTTTTGGACCCCCGTAAAACTATTTTTTATTTTACTTAAATTAAATTCAGTTTTTTAACAGATTTTTGTAGTTAATGTTAAATCACAATTCTAGGTTTTTCTTTTCCTCGGATTTATTTTCTTCAGGACTTTTTTCCCTGAGATCTTATTTCCAAGGACTTTATTGGCAGCCCCCATACTATTTTAGGAAAAAATGTCCCAGGAATCCAAAACACAGGACTTTATTTCCAGTGACATTTTTTTCAAGAACTTGATAAAATTCGGATTTTTTTCCAAAGTATTTATTTCCAGGTTTTTTCCAGAAACTTTTTTTCTCGGGACTTTCTTACATAGATTATTCCCAAAATAATGCGGAAATTCCTCAAACGTCTCTTTTAAGGCGTTTCCGTGGTGAGACGTTTCCATATAGCACCCAACACTGGGGGACAGGAGGGGGTAAAAAAAATATTTTTTTACCCCCCATGACTTAAATCCTGAAACCGCCCTTGAATTTAAGCTATAGTAAAACTTTGATTTCCAACAAATCATACATAATTGATTGATATTTGCAGATTGCAGTATCTTAATTAATGCAAAGATACAAAGTCTACACTTTCTCGATAAATAAATATTCATTCTATAAAAATCTAATTTTTCTGAGGAAAATATTAATTTTTTTGAATAGAGAGTGTTTTCACAGATTTTTCTGTTTGTTTGTATGTTAGATTCATAGATAGAACTATATCAAGTATATTTTTATAGCCCTAGAATATTTAATTTAAGAATTATTAATATTCCTGCAGGGTACGGTGCATCACCATTTACTTTTTATCTTTAAGGTCCAAGAATATTTAAATTGGGAAATATGCAGGGTACGGTGAAACGGTGCTATGGAAACGCCTCAACACGGAATCGGACCCAAAAAAAGAAACCTCCCCAAAATGAATTTTTTTGAGGCGTTTCCTGTTTTTTCAAAAATTATCGGAAATCCTTCAAATCCAATTTTTAAAGGAATTTCCCATTTTTTTTGATCCGTTTCCTCGATTTTTAGGTCAGATTCCGGTTTATCAGGGTCTTATATTGTTGAGGGATTTCCCAATATTTTTGAGGGATTTCCCAATATGTTGAGCGATTTCCCACTATTTTCGATCCGTTTCCTCATTTTTTGGATCCGTTTCCGGTTTTCAGAAAAAGTTTAAAATTCTCAGTTTGTTGATCGGTTTCCTCTTTTTTGGGTCCGTTTCCTCTTTTTTTGGGTCCGTTTCCTCTTTTTTGGGTCCGTTTTCTCTTTTTTGGGTCCGTTTCCGGTTTTCAAAAAAAGTTCTAAATTCTCAGTTTGTTGATCGGTTTCCTCTTTTTTTGGGTCCGTTTCCGGTTTTCAAAAAAAATTTTAATTCTCAGTTTGTTGATCGGTTTCCTCTTTTTTTGGGTCCGTTTCCGCTTCACAAAAAAAGTTTTAAATTCTTAGTTTGTTGATCGGTTTCCTCTTTTTTTTGACGAATTTAGTAAATTAGTATTTATTTATTATTATTTAGGGTTAGGTTAGGTTAAGACACTTTCTGGGCTGAGCGCTGCGGCCACGGGTTAGGTTAGTTAAGACACTTTCTGGGCCAAGCGCTGCGGCTCGGACAGGCTTGGGGGCCAAGCGCTGCAGCCACATGGTCAATTATATCCATGTCTAACATATGAGATTCATGTACAAAATTGATAGGAGGGGGGGGTCCAAAAATCGTTCTCTAGGAATATACCTGCCATTCAGTTAAGTTTGCCGGAGATGGTTTACACTGTAAAATTCTAAATTTAAGGACTGAAGATTTTATTTTTGCACCATTAAACTTTTGTGAAAATGCTTTTACTATATCTTGAATAATTTCTTCCAAAAAATACATTTTTTATCTAAAATTCATGCATACATTAAATTGTATTGAATATTTTCAATCTAACAATATATCTTATTCCACGTTTGTCATATAAATTCCAATAAAAAATTAGAACATCTGTAGATGTTTAAAAGATTATTAATGTATTAAAAATTTAGTGAAATGGAGACCTCTAATTCTAAAGAAGTCAGGAATACAAAAAGGAATCCAAGAAAGGTGAGTTAACTCTCAGTTCTCACACTTAAAAGCAAACAGCAATTTTGTAAATGTTTGCAAATGGAAATTTGCACACAAATTGACCATTTTATTAATTGATTTTGCAATTTAGCACAGTGATGTTTACATGCGTTGCCAAAATCATATTTATAATCTGAAGGCTTTTGCAAAATTTGGCCTACTATATTCCAAAGGAAATATGGACAGAATGTTAATAACTTCATATTAAGTGTGCTTTATACCAGACTTACAAAATGTACCCTAAAAATAGTGATTTTGAAATTGCATATTTTAAAATAATAGGATTTTATGATTTTAGGATTTTAGAATGAAACTAACTGAAGTTCCAAGAAATGAAATCTGTAAGAAAGAAAACAAATCTATTGAGGCGCAGAGAATGTCTCTCCCAGTTTTCGAATTAAAGGTATAGTTTTTACAATTATCAATTATGAAATTATTTTTTCCCTCCCTTTTTAGAATCCTTTTCGCCCATGTATATTATAAAGTTAACTTTTTGTACTGCCTTTCTTATACAAACAATTTAAGCATTCAAGCAAAAAAGTTAATATGCTCTTCATTGTTGGTTTTATTTAACGGTCTTTGTAAACATTGTTTCTCACTGATACTTTTGTGCCTAGTTTCAATAATCTTGATTGCTTTATCATGATATTAAATTTGAACCCTTTTTATTTTGAGGGTAGATGCTGATCCTTAGATTAAAGGGACTGTAAGCGTAATCCAATTATTGAGTGGCATGTAGATATTCTTATTTATACAGCTGGAAATTAAGTGCCAACCAACCGTAAACTACTTCCTGCACTGAATCTTCAGCTATACAAAGGTTTAAAGGTACCAGACATGTCACTTTATAAATGGAAGGTCACTTGAAATTACGATTACAGTCCCTTAAAAGTTATTCCTGCAGAGTATGCCCACCATGGGATATTGAAAAAGAATTAAATAAATCCATATGTTTACATCAGATTGAGATCAATTCTCAATCCCTTGATTAACAAGTTTTGACCTCAGGATAAGTTCATTGAAGCTGTGAGATCAAACCAGATTCTGATTGTTGTTGGAGAAACAGGAAGTGGGAAAAGTACCCAGCTAACTCAGTATCTGGTGGAGGCTGGGTTTACTGAACAAGGGCGGATTGGGTGCACTCAGCCTAGAAAGGTTGCAGCTGTATCTCTAGCCAAGAGAGTAGCCAAGGAGTATAGATGTAGGTCAGTAAAAGTCAAGGTTGTATAATATGGTTGCTTATTCTGAATGCGCTCCAATGTACGGAAAATATCGTCTCCTTAGCATAGATAGATAGAGAGATTCCGCATATGACGTTACTCTTGCCTCTATAATCAGTGTCTTCATAAGTAAGAAGAAACCTTATTATACACAACTCTTCCACCTATTTATTCAAATAGCTATTAAATATATTAATTTTACCGAGGACATACAACTTTACCTAGCATGAATATCAAGTCCTGTCTCCTTAGATATGCACTATCACATGCAAAATATCTGCTCTAAAATCTATAAAACGGCAATGGAGAAAAAAGTATGAATGAATTATCCTGGACATCATCCAAAAAAATTGTTTTAATTCATAGATTGGGTTATGAAGTAGGATATGCTGTTCGGTTTGATAATTGCACAACTAACAAGACCATCATCAAGTACATGACTGAGGGTATACTTTTGAGAGAAACTCTATCAGACCGTAATATGAGTGGCTATAGTTGCATTATGTTGGATGAAGCTCATGAAAGGACAATCAACACTGATGTGCTATTTGGTCTTCTGAAGGAAACTGTAAGGGAACGGCCAGATCTCAAGCTAATTATTACTTCAGCCACTCTAGATGCAGCCAAGTTTTCATCCTACTTCAATCAGGTTAACTGTTCATAAAAGAGGACAAAGAAAGATGTATTTTCCTCAGTAATAGTTATTAACAAGCAGAACGGTGGTCTTATTCCCTCTCATGTTTAGAGGTCAAAACTTGTGTAGGATATAGAACGGACACAATTGGAAAAGGGACCTAATGTTTGGAAAACTTACAAGGGGAGAGGCTAGGGTAACCAAAACATTTCCTCCCCATGCTGCTAGAAATAAGAAAAAAGAACCCATTTTAACTTTTTATTTAGGCCCCAATTTTTGAAATTCCTGGACGAACTTTTCCGGTGGAAATTATATATGACAGGTAGTAAATCAAGCATGAATGAATATTTCAAGTTTTGAAATTTGATATTGAGGTTCTTGTAATATCATTAGGTTAAAAATGGAAATGTAAATGAATTTTAACATTCTTGTCAGTCTTATCCATACTATTACAATTGGCCTGATGGTAATCAAATTAGACATTTTAGATCTAAACAGTCCAATAAACTAACAACTAGTTGATAGATACTGCCTGTGTTTAGGTTATTAACCTCAGACTACCTTGGAGAATGCTTGAAAAAAATCCTGAAAATTCATCGATCTGAACCACCAGGCAAATTTATCTAAAATTAAATTTCACACTGTAAGAACAAAGCATAGCATATTAGGGATATAAAGATTTTGTGAGCTATTCATAATTTCAAACAAAAGTTTAGTAATCTTGGAATGCTTTTAGTTCATATTACAATATTACCAACTGGGAATAATTTTTTAGGAGACATTCTGGTGTTTTTGACAGGACAGGAAGAGATAGATGACACTTGTGAGGCACTTGAAAAATGGTGAGCTAGTCACATTTTGTCCAAAAATTATCAGTGGTTTTAGATCCATCAAGAACTCTTAAAGTATAAGATTTTCCGACTGCAGCCATCCATGGTTTCCGATTAAAATTTTTTACACAAAAGTTGTGCATTAATTTTGCAAAGATTTTCTTATCTTTGGAGTAATTATTGCACGAGATTTTGATATAATTTTGCATTGATGCTCAATATTCTGTTGTTTCCTGCTATTTAGTTATTGCGACCTATTTTTATATTTTTAACTATTTTGTTGAATTTTGAGAAACAATTTCAGGAAATGAATGAATTTATCACTAAGGGTTTCTTGCACACAAATATAAGACAGTTTGGTCCAGGAGGTAAAAAAAACAAGCAGACAGACAATTAAGAGAAATGTAATACATATGTATAGATTAATACAAAGTTGTCATCATTAAGACTGAGACACACCTACATTGGCACCTTTTAGCGATTTCTCAAAACATATTTTTCATGACAAATTTTATTAATGAAAGCAACCAAACTTTTAACAGTGTTTAAAATATGAATATGATAATAATTTGATTATTGTTCATGAATAAAATACTGAAGCTATGAAAGAATTGATTTTTACTGAAACTAAGTCTGGTAGAAGACGATTATTGTTATTTTTTATTACAGTTTACATGGTATGACTCTGCCATGTTTTCTTTAACACATTTATAATAAAGTAGTTGATTTACAGCCTTCATTTCAATTAGTAGAGCCTCTACAATTAGTGGTGCTGCAACCCAATTTAACTTCTGTGTTAATTTTTTTTTGGTATCAATACATTCAAACTCTGCTGTGTTGATACTTATTCTGTTCTGCTTCCTTCAAAACTTTCTAAGTGAGTCTAGTTCTGAAAATTCTGTTCTTTGTTGCCATCTTTATTTTCTCTACACCTGCTAAGTTTTTAAATTGTTTTTCAAGTCTGGTCATGAGGCATGAAACTTTTATAAAATGAGCGAAAGAGAAGTTGAAACTTGACATGAAGATGAAGAGGATGAGAGCAACACATCTCCATCCTTGGTTTCAGCAGTGAGCTTAAATTTTTGACTCCCTGAGTTCTACACAGCCAATCTAAGAATGTGGCTCAACGGTGTAGAGTCTCTTTTCCACATGAAGAAAGTTGTGAATCAAACTGACAAACACTCCGTTGTTCCCTATGCTCTCCCTTATTCTTTAGTGAGACTTCTCCCAGCTATCATGAATGGAATGCAAGCTATAGGGCCCTATGATACTCTGAAAGCTGGAAGAATTCACACCATCTATTAATCAGCGAATGGAGGGGAGAAAGGATTCTGATTTTGGCTGATATGCATTGTTATCACAACTATCTAAACATTCCTGCTCAAATTATTCACCAGGAGGATGTTTCCATCACTGTAGTTAAGATTCACAAATCTTTTGCTGAAATTAGTAACATTAAATCTTGTGACAGATCTTAGAGCTTTGACATTTTTGAACCCCAGGACTGAAAGATTTGTCATGTGAATATAGTGACTATGAGCTAAATGCTATGAATAATTGTAGCACTGTCAAAAGGACCTCCCAGCAGAAACAGCAGCCTCTTCAACCTCAAGAGAACAACAAATATTGTTCTTCTGCTCAAAAATGCAAGGACACATTTTCTGGTCCTTGCATTTTTCTCATGGCGTTTTGCGCAGGGAAATGGGAAGGGAGGCGGAGAAACTAAACATCTCTTCCATCTCCCACCACCTCATCAGTTCCTTTTCCTTCGTGCAATTTGTCTGGAGCTAGATTTCTGGTTGATAATGGAGCTGCAGTATCTGTTTTCCTGTCAAAACAACCATGAATTTTTCTTCTTCAACCTCGCCTCTTTCAATTTCTCTGCCATTTCTACCCACAGCTGGAGGTTGTAGACAGTTATGACTCTTAAGACAATTCTTTTTTGTTTCAAGAGTCAAAGATTTATGTAAGATTTCATTCTAGCAGATGTGGCTCGCCCTATCCTTGGAGCAGATTTCTTGGCAACCTTTAATCTGTGTGTGGATATTGCTCAAGGAAGAGTTTCATGCTTTCACTTCTACTCCCCTTGTTCATGATTTTGATCATCACATTCTCACTGAAGGCCTGCCAATATTCAGTAAGGCAAGAAATCTAGATTGAGTAGATGTGGAGAAATTAATGGTTGCCAAGATTGAATTTTCCAAAATTGAAAAAGAAGGAATAATTTCATGCTCCCATTCTTTTTGGGCCTCTCCACTGCATACGGTCCGAAAGATGAAGGTTGGCACCCCTGTGGCGTTTACTGCCGTTTGAATTCAGCAACCATACCTGACCAATATCCAGGCCCAAGCCTCAGCGATTTCACCAGCAATTTGTTCAATCTTCTCTCCTGTGGGTCTGAAATCTGGATACCACCAGGTACCAATGAATCCAGGGGATATTTCCAAAACTGCAATTATTACTCTTTTGGCCTTTTTGAATATTTTTTCATGTCTTTTGGTCTTAAGAATGCTGGATGCAGTTTTCCACATTTAATGCATCAATGTTTGGGTGATCTGCTGTTTATGTTTGTCTATATTGATGTTACTTTGGTAGGGTTGAAATCCCTTAAGGAGCATGAGGACCATCTCTGCCAGTTATCACCATCCCCAGGGAAAACCACCTCATCATCTACCCCAAGAAGTGCATGTTTGGCAAGAGCTCAGTATCTTTCCTAGGTCACACTATAATATTCCTGCATTTCTCCGCTCCCCAGTAATGTCTCTGCCATGACTTCCTTTCCTCTGCCTTCAGATAAGTTAGGAGTTCAGAGATTTCTTGGGATGATCAACTTATATAGACAATTCCTACCAAACCTAGCCAAGATTGCCAAACCTCTAACAGATTCTCTCCGAGGTTTTGCTCTGTCTCCATTCTCATGGACCCTAGAGATGTAGGTTTCTTTTGATGAATCTAAACACTTTCTGTTCTCAGCTACTCTCCTTGTGCACCCAAATTCTCAAAACTCCTATATCACTAACTGTTGATGCTTCTAATAGTGATGTGGGTGGAGTTCTCCATCAAAACAGCTGAGGTAGAGCTGAACCACTAAGTTTTTTCTCCCTGAAATTAAACCCTGCTGAGATTTGATCGAGTGCTTCTGGCCATTTCTCCACAATTCGCTATTTTCTTTTCTACCTGGAGGGTAGAAAGTTCATCATCAACACTGATCACAAGTCTATTCTGTCTGCCATGTCCCGGATTTATCCTCCATAGTCTGCCATCCAGCAACGTTAGCTTAGTTTTGTATCCAAATTTTCTACTGATATCTGCCACATCTGTGGAACTACAAATGTTTTTTCAGATGCTCTTTCTCGCCCTTTTTTAAAGAATACATCTGTTGCTCCAAAACCTCAGTTTACTGCTCCAAAACCTTTGTATGCTGCTTTGAAGTTTTTGTCTACTGCTCCAAAACCTACATCTGCTGTTTTTAAACCCCTGGTTTCAGATTCATTATGCAACACAGTTCCAATTTGTTATCTAGGTTCTCATTCAGATTGGATTGGAAATTAATCAGTGAAGCTCAAGCAATTTGTCCAGATCTTAAATCACTTAAGCTCCAACAAAATATGATTTTCTCTGATATTTAGCTCTCTGGTTTCCCTATCACCTGTGAAGTAAACCATGGTATTCCAAGACCTGTCCTTCCTGAAGATTTTCGGAAACCAGCTTTCCTTTTCCTGCATGGTTTCTCATCCTGGTATTCATGCTTCAAGGAGATTAATAACTGACCAGTTTGTGTGGACCTCCATTAACTCTGACATCAACAAATGGAGCAAGTTTTTGGAACATCTTTAAGTCTACTTGGATATTTTTTGGATCCATCTCACCTTGTACAAGAAGATTTCTTACTCTGTTTTCAATCTCTTGTAGCATCATCTCAATCTCCCCCTGCTATTCCAAAGAGAACCCCCGCCTCTGTTGTTCATTCAAAACTGGTTTTGTGTTAAAACAAATTGATGCACAATTTTGTGCAAAAAATTCATTTCATGCAAAAACGCAAAACTGTTACGCAAGAGAATCTACGTTTTTGTGGAAACCCTACAGCCATCCCATCATTCATCTGTTGATTTGTAAACATACTAAACAAGGGGACAACATACTTGTGTAGTAAATTTTAAAAAGAATGACTATCACAGTTTTCACAGTTTTCACAGTTTTCCACAGTGCAGCATTAGAATCCAATAGTACCAACAGGGGCGTACAAGGGCATTTGTTTATGGGGGGCACAACTTCCGTGCATGAGCGCACCAAAAAAAATTTTGGGTCCACCCCCTTGGAAACATTGTGCCCCCCCCTTAAAAGTCCATTTTTAAAAAAAATATTAATACCTTTTTTAAATTTTTTTTGACCTCCCTGGAATTGTTTTGTTCACCACAAAAATACACCAAAAAGACCACCTGAAAGAGTCTACAAATTATTCCTTTGCTTGAAGAACTAACTTTTTAACTTTATAAATGTATCACTTAACTCCATCACAGCTAACTAAATCAATAATAACAGCATCATTAAAAAAGGGGGGGAAAGAGGACTACTGCCCCCCCCCCAGGTACGCCACTGTGCCTGGCCTGAGGAAGGGAAATGCAAGAGATATAATATTAAAAGACCCTCCCCCCATGGGTGCCCCCTCTCAGCCTCCCAGGGGGGGCACACGTAAATGTACTTCAATGTACTTTTTAAGGCATATGTTTTATTACCAGGAAAATGTCAGACGAAGGATCCAGTACTTTGCAAGTGTATCCCATGTACAGCGCTCTTCCTTTAGGTTTTTAACTTAACAGAGTCTAAAACTTAAGAATGTGTGAAATTTAAGTTATAGCTTAAAAGTTCTGAAATATAATGAGTTAAGACTCAAATATTAACTTTTCTCAATTAATCCCTGAAGGAAATTTAAATTTCCCAGTGAAAATGTCTACCAATCAGATTACAGGAATTACTAATTTACAGAGATAATGCAACATCAGGTGTTCTGTTTCTTAATTTTACTTTATTCACGTAACTGCAGGGCTATCAAAATACGTTGCAAATTACACAATGTATTTATTCCAGATTACTTATGAGAAAAGATTTATTAACTTACTTCAGATTAAATAAATTTCATGTATTATATCGCAAAATTGTATGCTGGTATTCCTGGGTTAAAATTTAGGTTTAAATTATGTCATAAGTAGAATTTAAGCTGAAACTATTAGCTAAAGCATTTAAGTTATAACTTTTTGTTCTTAGTTTTGGACTCAGTTTTACATAATGATTCTACTAATCTAATAAAAATATGCAAGCAAATTACGGTCAAATTTTCATTATTTTAGAGAAGCAAATGAGAATATATGAGAAACCACTGCTTGGCTGCCGGAAAGTAATCATATCCACAAACATTGCAGAAACAAGTTTGACAATTGATGGAGTGCTCTATGTTGTGGATTCTGGGCTATGTAAACAGAATGTGTACAACCCACACCAGGAAATATCTACATTACGTGTGACCAAGATTTCTCAAGCTGAAGCAAAACAAAGATCAGGGCGGGCAGGGAGAACAGCTCCAGGGAAAACTTATAGACTATACACAGAAGCTGAATTCAAGTAAGTATATCTGACATACAGAACAGAAAAGGCCAAAAATCAAATAGAGATGTTGAAATTTTTACAAAAAAGGCAATTTATAAGAATTATAACCAATATATTTCAGAACTGTTCCCGCCTTTGATTTGCCATTGAAAGTTTAACATTTTTGAAAATCTAAAAGCATAGAGAATAGAATATATAGAGAGGAATTAAAAGAATTTCACGGTATGAATTTTTTCAGTCCCTTTCAGCCTGAAAGGGAGTTCAAAGTGTACAAATCATGTAAATGTTCACAAATTATATGCAGTAGAGTACATTAATACAGTATGTTCCCTAGACTATCCATTTCAATTTCGAATTTTTTAAACTGTTAAATAAACTTTATAATGAAATAGGTGAATAAAAACATCATTTGATTCATGGTTATAACGGAAAATCATGGTTTGTAAAGTGGAAGGCATAGAGCCTATGTGAAATGATCATTGGTCAATGATGAAACCAGCCTATTTCATAATTTGGTTTTCTTCTAACAATAATTTTAGATTTTCTATAAAATGTTATTCCAGGGCCCAACAGGTTATATAGCATAAATATGTGAAGTACACCTGCAGTATGGAAACAGTACAACAAAATGGCCGTTTTACACTTTTTTCTAGTAAATTCCCCTCTAATATATATTCTATTCTCTTTGTCTAAAAGTGTTCACAAACTCCTATTCAATTTTTCAATTTTTATTAATTTCAGGCAAAAAAACATTCCAACCGGTCTTTATTACTTATCTTTTTAGACCTGGTGAATAGGGTTTCCAATCGGAATTCCAGTGTGCATTGATCACAATGATTGCTTCTGCTTGGGCCATTTGATTGCTTGCAATTGCGCTAAAATTGCATGCAAGGAAGCAATTAAATTTTCGCATAATTGTGTGCGACGGAATTGCTTTTCCATCTAAACATCAATAATGTTAACTGTGACTTACAAATTTTTGCAGAAGACACAAGGATGGAAATATCTCTGTAGATTTTAAAATAATCAAGGCCTAAGGGTTACTTTCAAATTTTAAAGTTTCTTGTGGTTAAGCTACAATTTAATATGATACATTTTTCATTTGTTAACATTGGATGAACATTAAAATGGAATCTTTTTTTGGTTAAAATTGTAAGGTTTGTTTAATCAAAATTAGATGTTTGGCTTCAGTGAGAACCAGAAAACTGTGGTACAAAAAGACAACATTACAGTGTATTTGATATCTTTACAAAGCAAAAAAGAATAATTAGCAACATATTAAATCACTCATTCAGTTACATAGGTCTGCTTGAGTCTAAAATGTTGTCTTCCTATGACAGAGTTTTCTGGTTATCATGCTCATATGAATATGATAAAACAAAAGATTAAGTTTAAATAAAATTTTCTTAGCATTTGAGACAGAAATGTTGGTGTGGTTCAGTTTATTGTATAGCACTACCAAAGTTTAAATTGATTTTTTTGTAGTTGAACAGAATTGTGCAATAATTAATTGCATTTATTGCGTGCCATAAGGTTTTAATTGAATATTATCAAAAATCGAAACAAGAACACAAGAAAGTTGGACCAAATTGCGCGCAATTCCCTTGAGATTATTGCAGTCATTATTACAAAATTGCGCGCAATTAAATTCACTTATGGCAAGGGCTTGCAATTTTGCGCAAGTAAAATCCACATGTATTGGAAACCCTACTGGTGAGCAACTAAACAAAAATCTGAAACTATAACTCATTTTCTCCCTTTTTGACACACTAACATAAAATTCTCGGAAGGAATTTAGAACTTTAAAAAATGTTAAGAATTATTTTTTAAAAATGAGCGAGAAAATTATTTTTCTGGAGAATAAACCCTTGTATATCCCTTGTTTTAGAAACATGGTACCCACGCCAATTCCAGAGATAAAAAGATCAAACTTATCAACAATGGTCCTGCAGTTAAAGGTATAAAATTTACTTTAGATACAATAAATCATGATTTAAAAGCTACTGAATTTTTCAGGCAATGGGGATAGATGATTTGCCAAAGTTTGATTTCCTGGATCCCCCAACTTTAAACTCTCTGGACCATGCACTAGAGATTCTACATTCACTATCTGCAGTCACTGATAGAGGTACAATCTTGTTGTACGTTATATATCTATTTTGCTTGTCTGTCTGTCTGTTTTTATCTCATAAACATCCAAATGGCTGAATTAAATGGGCTCATAATTTTTTATGGGAACTCACAGGGAAGGTTTACATACCATCAAAATTGACAAATTTTATCTGGAAAAACATGACATAAATTCTTTCAAAAACTAATTTCATGGGATCAAATAACTCCTGATACTTTAATCTATAACACTGCTCTCTCAGTTAAACTCATACCCAGCCAGTCACTCCCTTTAAATTGAGTGTAAAATAAAGTTACATCTTAAGTACCTTTTAAGGATTGTTGACCCGGCTGGGTAAGCAGATGGCAGAGTTACCTCTGGATCCAATACTTTCGAAGATGCTACTGGTGTCAGTGGATGAGGGTTGTATAAAAGAGATTTTGAGCATTGTTTCCCTTCTTTCTGTAAACAACAATGTGTTTATCAGGCCAAACAAACCCAAAGATAAGCAAAAGTTGGCAGATGAGAAGAAAGTATGATTTTTTTTTAAATTCTAAAGTAGTTCTTGTTTCTATATTTTCTAATCATTTGATGATGTCCTTAAATTAGGCTCAGTTTATCAAGGAGGAGGGAGACATTCTTACTCTTCTGGAAGCGTATGATTCATGGATTGATAATGAGAAAAGGTTAATTTAATTTTTATACTTTATTAAAGGGTGAACCTAAAAAAAACCACACATAATACAAATTCTTCTCTAATTGTTTTAATGCATTATGATTCAAACAGTTTTATTGGATATATTTTAGTGGTTACATATATATTTGAGTATTTTGAAACTTTTAGTAGTCTTCCTTCTGGATTTGACGGCCTTCTTTGTCTATAACAGCTTGTAGTCGGTGGGGCAGAGATGCCATCAAATGTCTACATAGAGCCTTATCATCATCAATCTCTCTCCATGCTGCAATGATGGCTTTCTTCAGCTGTTGGTCATTAGAGCATTCTTTTTTAGTAACCTTTCCCTTAAGAATACTCCAAACATTTTCTATTGGCCATAAGTAGTGATTTTGGCACTGAAATCAGTATTGATGATCTTTCCCCACTTTCTGTCATTCCTCACTCTTCTCCCATAAACACTAAGGAACATCCTTGCACACTCCACACGCCTTTCCATTGCTCATCTGACATTTTCTGTACCTTACACTTGTGGTATGCCTTATATCCATATTTTTTCATGATTCTTACAACTGATGTTTGAGAGACTCCAACTCTTAAAGAAACAGGCCGGGGGCTCCTGCGTTCCTAATTGTTCATCAGTCTCTTCACCTGGGCAATCTTTCTTCCTGAAACAGAGGGTCGTCCGTTCCCCTCTAGGTGATCAGCACAGAACCCATGCATTGCAAACTTCTTCTTCTGGTAGACAACAAAGCTTCTCAGGCTTTCTTTTTTGATTGTATTGACATGGTGTCAGGACCGGGAACTGCACCAATATACAGTCACTTTATTATTTTACCATCACTGGCATGTGGCTTTTTCTGGAGATATGTCTCTATCTGTGATTTCAAGATGGATTTAAGCTTTTTATCCATTTTTTCTTGGTAGATTCACTATCAACTGGTCCCAAAACAATAGTTTTGCGAATTTTTATCCATTATTATATGGTTTTTCTTATTAATAATCCAAAAAATCCGTTTTGTGTGGTTCTTTTAGGTTCACCCTTTATATGTGAATTATTACTAATTAGTTTATTTACAGTATTTCTTGGTGCAAGGAAAACTTTCTGGACTTCAAAACTTTAAAAGAAGCAGAGGTGGATTTATTTGAATTAAATTTTATATGCTATTATACATAAATATAGTTAAAAATAGTATTGTGGTAAATGGTCAAAACCACAGAAATATATTCTTAAATTAAAAAATATTCTTTATCACACTAGACTTTTATTCTTTTTTTTTTGCTAGAAAAACATATTTGTGCAAAAATAAAGGAAAACTGTGGGAAATAATTTTTGTTGAAGTCCAAATTGTCACATTTATAAGTGAATACTGGCCCCATTTTTTGCTTTCGGTTTTTACCTGGGCATAAATTAGAATGAACAATTAATTTATTCAACTAAAAATGTTAACAAATATTCATCATTGTTAAGGCTATCAGAAATCAGCTGCTCATCAAGATGAACTTCACTGAGAACAGCATCTCAAGCTGTCATGGAGATTTGATCAGGTTAAAACAAATTACTAGATTGCAGTGCTTAGGATTCAGATCTGTTGGATCCGCAAGATTTTGGCTGCCTAGATCCAGACCTGCAAAAATATGCAGATCCACAGATTGAATCCTAGGGTAAAAATATCAACCAAAAATTGAAAGAAACCTTTTACACTCTCAAACCCCAAATCTGAACTGTAAAAAAATAGAGATCATAAAAATTTCCTGATATCTGAATGGTTCATTAAGTTTTAGCATGAAAATAAGAGAAAAAAAGAAAAATAATTTGACAATACTGCTGGATCCATGATCAGATCCAGATCTATTTTTTTTCAGTGCAGATCCAGGATTTGAAATCGAATCCGCATCAAATTAATTGGATCCTAAGCACTGCTACATTAAAAAGATTAGTGTGAGCAATTGTATTTACTTATATTATATTCTTTAGTGTCCAAAGATCTATTTGTGCTGGGCTTATCAGAAATATTGCTTCTAGAACTATCAAAAGCGAATATAGTCTTGGCAATCAGGTATTTTATTTTTAAAAGAGATTTCTTCTAGAATAAAAATTAGTGATTGGACAATTCATTTTAATTTGAGAGGTAAAAAAGATAAGCAGAGAAACCCCAAATTCTTTAAGATTTTGCTTTCATTGTTGCAATATTGTTTATTATTATTATTAATCATATTATTTCCTGTAGTAAAATTCTAATAAATTGTTTGTTTCAGGTAGTATTTATACATCCTGGAAGTACAGTTTTCATACAGAAGCCAGATTATGTTGTCTGTCATGAAATTGTTGAAACCTCAAAAAAGTATATGCGTATGCTGACAATTGTACTACCTTATTGGGAGTATGAGTTCAAACCCAGCACATCCTATGTCCATCTGAAATCTGAAAAAGAAACCCTGAAACCTAGAACTCCTAAACCGAAACTTTCAGAAGATCCTCCCTCTTATGAATCTACAGTCCGACATGACTATGCTTGGCATGCATCTTCTCAGTTCAAACCTTCTGCTCCTGACCCTCCATCATTCAAACCTTCAATGCCATCCCAATCTCCTACACCTCCTACCCCTACACCTCAGCCTCCACCTCCACCTCCGCCTTCTAAGTCCAGATGCATTATTTCTTAGTTTGCAATTTTATGGTCAGATTTTGAAAACTTCATAAAAAAGGTTCTAAAAAGAAGTAAATAAGAAAATGTTGGAATGCGGTACTGTAATAAAAAAATCTTTATTATTTCTCAATTAGCAACATTTCACAATCTACAATTCTCATTGGCTTATAATGGGCCAACCAATTAAAACAAACTACTCTGGTAAGTGTAAGGCGGGTCCAAACTACATAGTAAATTGGGATTTATTATTTGTATTATCCAGTGCTGTGTAGTTAAATCAAAAAAAAATATTTTAAAAATATGTTGAAACCAAGCCTTTTCAAATATTGAGAAAGATGTAACTCATAAAAATTACCTAAATTGATTTCAGTCAAATTTATATATATTTTAACATAATGTGTTGAAATGCCTTGGTCTTTGCTTTTACATTACTAACTAACTTATACTTTTTTGAATCCCCAGAGTTGGAAGAGTTCCAACTTCCATTTAAAAGAAGTAATTGTCTAAATCCTGACCAAAGAAATTGAGTCTTTGACACAACTCCGATCGAGAAAAGAAATTAACTTTATATTTTTATTCTTATATTTATTCAAAATTATTTTGATACATCATTTAAATTTTTTTGTGATTTATTTTACATGTATCGACTTTATTTAATAAATATATTTACTCCTAGTTATTTATTTAATAAATATATTTACTCCTAGTTATTTATTTTTAGCAAAACTTTAGAATTCACAACATTGCTGATATTGAGATAAATAATTCTTATTTCAGAAGTCTGAACTTATACGTTGTAATTGTTAATATTGGATCAAACAATATATGCAGACCTACAAATAAATTAACCCTATCTCTGCTGGGGTACTTGAAAACCAGGATATGCTGGGGGGGTCAATTTGACCCCCCCCCTCTAAATCCCATGTTTGATGTCCAAATAGGACAAATGATACATCATGGGAAAGCTCTTGTGCTCTACATTTAGAATCTGCAAAAAAAAATTGCAAATTTGCAAAAATTGAATTTTTTATTGCAAAATCCAGTTATATAGTAAAAATGTTTGCAAAAAAAAATTTGTCCAAAAAATGAAAAATTATACATTTTTGAAAAGGTCTTGACCATGCCATTTAAAATATGCAAAAAATTTTGCAAAATTTTAAATAACCTGATTTTTAATCAAGTAAAACTAAAAATGTGCAAATTTCCTTTGACAGGTTGTTTGCAAAAATTTGCAATTTTTTTCCGCAAAACTTGTGCAATTCGTTTCCTTATGTCAACGGCTTTCCAAAAAGCTAAATTTTATAAAAATCTGACAAGTGGAAGTGGGTCAAAACAAAGATTTAATTTGTTATAGGAAATAGCAGTAATTCAGGCAGTGTGCCTGAGGACTCAGGCAGTTAGTATTAAAGCCAGGTTTTAGGCCTAAAAGGAGGGCTTTGGGTATGTAGGAAAAGTCAGAAAATTTCAACAGCATCAGGCCAATACTTTTTGAGTTATGTAAAAAAAACTACAGGGGGGGGGGGGCAAATTGACCCCCCCCCCCTCCAGCAGGAATAGGGTTACATAATCGATCTACCATGATTATAGTACTCTGCAGGGATTGAGTTTTTGCACAAACTCCTATTTTGTAATCTCTATATCTTTGCAACCGATGCTATAGACCTTTGATAATTATGTACACTATCAGTTCTGTTATCAAGAAATCAAAGTTTGAAATATGAAAGGTTTGCACCATCAGGTCTAAAAATGAAAACAGCTTTTCTCTTTAAAGGGAGTGACCGGCAATGTATAGTAATTAAACTGAGAATGTAGTATGTAGAGAAATTTTTAGGATACATTTGATAAATATAAAACAATGATGTATAATTACTGAGTTTGAGCACAAAGTCGACGTTCAGTATCATTCATTTGGGTAGTTATGTTTTGAGAATCAATTTCTATCAAATTATTAAATAAAAATGACAAAAAATGTATCAAAAATTCTACAGTAAACTAATTGGATGTTTAGGAATATATTTCTCAACAGAAATTTTTCAATAAATCAATGTTAAAATCAATTATTTCTTTTCCGTCATTATATTGAATTTCTTATTCTTCATGACTTTGTTCGCAGAATTCTACAATTTCTTCAAATGTTGTCTATTCAATAAAAATTTCAGAAAATCGACAGAAAAAGTTTGTGAACAATGAGAGATCGCAGAAACTAATAACTGAATAAGATTACTTATTTTCAATGATAAGAATTGATTTTTATTTTCTAAACTTTTGTCGTTCTTATTTAATAATTTTTAAAAAATCGATTTTTAATAACTGATCACCTAAATTGGATGATTTTGAAAGTCGACTTTGCGCTCAAAATCAGTAATTATACATCATACAAACGTTTTACATGTAGCAAATGAATCCTAAAAAATTTCTCCACACTACTACACTCTCAGTTCAACTAACAAACATTGCTGGTCACTCCCTTTAAAGGAAAGAAAGAAGCTGACAATTACTCCAATTCCTATTTGTTGATTGTAAACATCACCCTGTGTATAAAAGAAAAGAAAGATAAGGTTATTTTAGCCAAAAGATAAGTTTAATTACAATTCCAGTTACGCTCGTTTGGATTTATTTTTAATTATACTTTATTTGAACGTAAACACTTGGAAGTTTTTATCCAAATCAGGAACAGGTCCGGTTTCGGTGTATATAAACTATGCAGGAGTGGATGTAGTAAATGTCCTACTCCAATAAATCCATTCTGACCCGTTTCAATCCAGGTACAACTCAATCCCTCTTGTTGGTCTACGAGGCATAAGAACTAATCAGTTCAATAACAATTTGTCAGTTTTCCCCCCTAGATTATCATGAAACTGATCTGCGCTGGATTACCTAAAACCGGAACTAAGATCCTGGCTAAAGCTTTAAGAATACTAGGATACACTGTATATGATGTGAAAGAGCAACTTGAGGTTTGTACAACAAATACTTTATAGTTTGTAGTGTTTTTAAGTTTACTTTCATTACATTATACGATTTTTCTCGAATCAAAGGTATTTGGATAAATTCATCAGCAGTAGAAAAAGCAAATTTTGTAATTTTCTAAACTTACATAGAGATCATTGAAATTACAGGGGCAGTCCCTTTCATTTAAAAAGGCAATATAACTATTTTCCAATTGTTTAGTTTATTGAGGAATACCTGGAGTTTATTCACGGAGAGAGAGATTCAAGCTTCCTGGAAGATATAAAGTAATAAATCGATTCATAATGGTACCTTATTTATTTTAGTGTTTTTGTAGGTATGGGCATTGGGGACAGTGGTCATTTCAAGCTAAAGTAACTTAATGGGCATTTGGCAAAGATAATTAATTAATTAACTCATGTTCAAAAAGAAAAGTGAACAATAGATTATGACGAAGTTTGTAAATTGAATAATTTAATTTAGCACAATTTTGAAAATATCATGGATAGAACTGTTGAAAATTCAGCATGCTGTTCTTAAATACGAATTACTTGGTAGTAAAAATCTGGCTTTTTCGATCATCTGTCTACATATAGTTCAGTGCATAGAGTAATAAAACGAAGAGGTGAAGCTTAGCTCAGATGTACACAACCGACCTGTCTATTAATTAATTAATAGACAGGTCGGTTGTGCACATCACGATATGTTTACGTATCTAACGTTGTACACTTGTATATAGAGCTTCACCTCTTCGTTTTATTACTCTATGGTTCAGTGTGTAGAAATGTTTCTTTACAATGAAGACATAATCATTATAGTTCCGTCCCTCTATTATAGTTCCGTCCCTCTATTATAGTTCCGTCCCTCTATTATAGTTCCGTCCCTCTATTTCTGTTGCAAAAAACGTGCTGGGTCAACCGCATACTATTATTATTATTATTATTATTATTTATTTTCGTTATAATTATTATTAGTACTATTATTATTATTGTTGTTATTATTGTTAACAATTACATTTACATTTACGTTTAAATTTACATTTACATTCACATTTACATTTACATTTACATTTACATTTACACTTACAGATTAGAAATATAAAAGTAAATATTATGCACAAGGATATACCCCTTACACAGAGGATTTACAATTTATACATTTTATACATTAACATATTGGTAAAAGAAAATATTTTACAAAGGGATATAAACTGAGGATTTTCAATTTACATTTACATTTACATGTAAGTAATGTAAAGTAAATATTATATGTGCAGGAATATAAATTTTACACAGAAGATTTACAATTTACAAGTAAATAATAAAAAGTAAATATAATACACTAATATATATTTGAATATATGAATAAATATACATATAAGAATTTACAATTTACATGTAAATTTACTAATTCTACAGAGCTGAAAACTTTAGAATGTGATATCCTTAATCCCGATCTGTTAATTAATCTGGAGATTAAATTCATGAGGAAAACAATCAATATTTAATCTGGAGATTAAGAAAAAGAGTGGATCAATCATTAATCCCGATATCCACCATTTTAAAGTTCCCCGCTCAGGTCTCATACCTGTTCTATAATGGTCTCTTGCAATTTTGTCAATTAGTTTTCTTGGCGAAGTTTGAAAAAAATAACTTTTTGTTTTGTTGGATATCTACAGCAACTGTCCAGAACTTTTATGAAATCACTAAGCAATTGATTGATTTTTCTCTTTAAAAAATTTGTATTTTTAAAATTTAGGTTGAGTCATATCATTAGAAAATTTGTTGAACTTCATAACCGTGTTTGGTCAGTTATATTTACTATTCAGTGGGAAATTTATTTTAAAATGGTGTAGAAAGAAGAGCGTCAAAAACGATCATTTTTCAAAACGATCGTTTTAAAAACGACCATTTTCTAAAAAAAGAACTTTATAAAAAACGATCGTTTTTAAAGACGATCGTTTCGTTTTTGATCTTTCGTCGCCCTTTTTAACTCTGATTTTGAATTCTTCCTATATCTTTGCAACCTAATGTCGTGTAGATTTTAAAAGCTGTTGCTGTAGGATGTTGTTGAATAGTTGCTGTTGTAGGATGATGTAATATAGTTGTTGTTGTAAGTTTATGTTATAAAATTTCTATTGTCGGGATGTTTCTTTTATAGTTGCTGTTGTAGGATGTTGTATTTCCTATTGTAGTATGTTGTTATATAGTTGCTGTTGTAAGATGCTGTTGAAGGAAGTTATTATAAAAACTACTGTTGTAGTATGTTGTTATATTGTTGATGTTCTATGATGC